AGATATGTGTGTGTGTGTGTGTGTGTGTGTGTGTGTGTGTGTGTGTCTACGGGTGCATGCAAGCCTGATAATTTAAAAGTAACTTTTTACTTCAACTTTTTGCTCAATTTAGATTAATTCCATTATTTTAAATCAAGTTATTAATTAATTATTAATTAAATTAAGTTATTAATGGCTCCTGTGACATTTTATTACCAAAGGGTGTTCCAAAGATAATAAATTCTGACCAATGTACATTGAGCATGGAGTGGCAATCGTTGGTCGCCTGCAGTTCGAAGTCAAAGTACAGCAACCTGACTGCTTCTAAATGTTATCTTTATGATAATCTAGGGTCTTTGGTTAATCTGAACAGTCTTGTTGGGGATATTTATGAAGTGTCCAGGGACAACGATGATGACGACGATGACGACGATGATGGCTTATTAGATAACAAAGATATCCGATTTAAATTTTCAGTCTGTCGGAACATGATGGAAGGTTTGATGACTGATGATTTGTTACTCATTAATTAGTCAAGTATTCAATTTATTGGTGAATCATTTGTAGGCAGGTAGACACTGCACATGTTTCCATGTGGTGCTCTGATTATGTTCACTGAACTGTTTGTAGTATGATGACGGTTCATAATGTGTGTTGCTCTTATTATTTATTATTGCTACTACCGGTCTGTTTTAAATAATTTGTAGTTATCATGAATTATTTTTGTCGATTTATCGAGTTATAAATTGCTTATTTACATTGTTAACTCACCAATCAAACAATCGATCAATTGGTTGATGACCTTGTTTAGGCTGATGATGTCCACCTTATTAATGACCCTGTCCACCTTTCTTGTCCATTTCCGAAATTTATTTGTATTCAATTCAACATTCCAACTTCTTCCATCATGTAATGCCATCCATCCTTCCTTCCATCCGTCCATCCATCCATCCAACCATCCATCCATCCACATTTGTTAACGGCTTTTTTAACTGACCAACAGGGTTATAATTAGTTAACCTGTCATTTGGCATTTTGCAAATGTGTCTTACACTTCAAAATTTTCTTGCTGTGGTTATTTTTTTTACCTTCCTCTTTTAACTTCTTGTGACTCGTCTTTCACCAACTGACTTCCAGCATTTTGCTGGAAGTCTGTTCACTTCAGTTGCCTCTAACTTCTTTGTTACTCTTCTTTATCATCTAAGTTTTGTATGTTTTTTGGGTCAGAGAGTACTAAAAAAATTAACATGGATTTCTGAAAAATGTTTTGCATGCATGTATGCAGTAAAAATGTAGAGTAGAGAACATGCAGGTTTTCATTATTTCCAACATGTTTCGATTGATTTATTTTCACATTTCCAAGTCTCTTCCAACACAATGCTAACATTTCTCAGATTGTACTCCTCTTCCTTTTGATTCTTTTGGGTGATTATAGTTGCCCATCGTAAGACTGATTAATGCATTGGTATAATGAATTGTCTTGTCTGGACCAAAGATAAGAACTGACATTGTTTTTCCAATTATAATTTTAAATAATTGTACAGTTAAAAGAGTTCATTCTGTTAAGTTTTTGGGTATTAATATTTCATCCAACTTATCTTGGTTATCTCACATAAAGCTTGTTTCATGTAAATTATCAAAAAATTTAGGTTTAATTTATCGCTTAAGGTTTAAATTTCCAAGGTTCACTATGTTATTGATCATATTACTCCATATTTTCATTTAGCTAATATTCGTAGTATTAATCAGTTATATATTGGCCGTCTTCTACTTCTTTTCTTTAAAATATATAAATTAAATTTCTGTCAGTCACTCTATAATGAACTTGCTGCTTTTAAGAATACAAGACGTGAAATCTTATATCATAATCCTGATTTCTACTTCTTTAAGCCTAGATCCAATTTTTTCTTTAACTCAGCATTATCTTTATCAATGCGTTTTTGGGATTCCTTACCGGATAATGCTAAGTTGGGTTGGGTCTTTTTAAAGCATCAATTTTAAAACTCTAACCATTTTACGACATGCTAATTTCAATTTTTGTTTATTAAATTATCCTTTGTTGAATATTTCCGTTTAATTTTGTTTATTCTTTAAAAAATTTTGAATTTCACTTTGTAATGTCTTTTGATTTCTATGCTCAGTTTTTAGTTAAGGGGGTCTACACATGCATATGTATCTTGATCTCCGGTGCTTTTGCCGAATAAAATTCTGTTCAAAAATTCAAATGAATGTACGAACGGTAATGTTATCATTTATTGGAAAAGAATTCTTTTATACCTGCATTACAAACAGGCTAGCGAGGATAATTAATTAATTTTTTGTTCATTCCAAGGTTCTTCATGCTCTGGATCATCTGCCTGTCTCCTTTTTCCTAATGGAACATTTTTTAGCTTGGGGAAAATAGCTTCAAAACCATCTTCACAACTCTTATCATCGTCGTCATCGTCATCGCTGGAGATGAATGATAATAACGAGATATACATTGAGTACGTGGATAATGATTCAATGATGCCAGACTGCAAGGTTGTCAGGACCGTCGTCGTCTTCAAATGTCCTCCACGTGGTTTCTTGGTTGGTTGATTGGATGAATTGTTGGTTGGTTGATTGGATGAATTGTTGGTTGGCTGGCTGGTTGGTTGATTGTATGAATTGTTGGTTGGCTGGCTGGTTGGTTGATTGGATGAATTGTTGGTTGGCTGGCTGGCTGGTTGATTGATTCGTTGATTGGATGAATTGTTGGTTGGCTGGTTGGTTGGTTGATTTCCGGTTGATTGTCGGTTGGTGGGTTTCTTTGGAAGAGTTGTTTCAACAAACCAACGAACCAACAATTGAACGATGAACACCAGGGTTCACAGCCACTACTCACGTCAGCCATCAACTGCACGTACCTCATCGAGTGGATGACAGAATATGCCTGCTCCGATCTTTCCATCTCTGTTCATTCAAGCTGCATTCTGTCCAGCCTTCCTGATGATGATGTTGATGATGATGAATATCTCAAGAGAAGGATTAATATTGATTTGTCTGGATTAACAGCTGGTTATTATTGTTATCAAGATCGTTCTTGATGTTGAGTTTATTATTTTTGTTTTTTCTTTGTTGAGATATGGCAATGTATATGTGTTTTCAAATGAACATGAATGCGATGATCTGTATGTGTGTTAACATCCACCTCCAGATACACCTTACAACATCACAGCTCGTGATAACGCTGGTAAAGTCTACAGCTACATTCTGAACATCTGTACTAATAAAACTATGCATTGTTATGGTGATGCAATGACATCTACTTCAACTGGAAACAATCAACCAGCTGCTTGTCAGCTGAGCAGAGATGGACAAATTAAGAAATCCATTGGCAGTTTCCAACAGCAAGAACTTCAGTTAGTTGTGTCATCTTCACTATAGCTTCAGGATTTTTAATTTTGTTCTTTGATTTTTATCTTTTGATGATTTGATTATGATTTGATTTGACCTTTTCTCTAACGAACATACAACGTGCTTATTTTGTCGTTAACTAGTCACTCAATTAATTAATTAATTTATTTATTCGTTTTTTAAAATTATTATTTTATTTTCCATGCCTTAATATTCTTACTCCGTTATTTAGTTTTTATTTTATAACATTGCCTTGCATTTTGTAACAATTTTTATGTTTGTCAGATTTTGACTTTTTAAAGAATAAAAAATGCTATGTAGTCAGTGGCTGATCAATCAATCAATGATAGTAAATAAATCCGGTGCTCCATACTTCTTTATTTCATTCTTACAACTCTCCTACTCTCTCATCTTCATCTTCATCATCACCTCTCACTTTTTCCTGCTTTCTCCAACCCACCTCATCCCTGCCACAATGTTCACCTATTTTGTGATCTCTCCTCACACATGGTCCATCGTAATCTCACCTTTTTTTGAGAATGTATTGTATTTGAATATATGTATTATGCATTTGTATATATGTAGAATGAATGTATTAATATTATTATTAATTAATTAATTAAATAATAATAATATTAATTATTATTATTGTTAACATTATTATAATTGCTATCGTTTTGATTCTATTCAAGGTACTCAGACGGTAAAATAGTGATATTAATTATTATTATTGTTAACATTATTATAATTGCTATCGTTTTGATTCTATTCAAGGTACTCAGACGGTAAAATAGTGATGGTGATGGGCGGTGGTGACATGTGTGCAAGTGCCTTTCAAAGAACAACTATCATCCAATTTGAATGCAACACAACTGTTGGTTAGTGGTTGTTTTTGCTGTTGTTTTTGCTGTTGTTTTTGTTGTTGTTTATTTGATGCTGCTTATGTTTTGTTGTTTGTGTTGTTGTTTATGTCTCTGTTTATTTAGCTGCTTAGTTAGTTTCTGTTACAAGTTGTTTTTTGTGTTGCATTTTATTGTTATTTTGTTTGGGTCTGAGTTGTTGTTTTTTATGTTTTTGATGTTTGTGTGCGTGTGATTTATGCCGTATTGTATTGTTGTTTCTCTAATTTACTGATATTGTTGAGACAGTCAATTTACTGATAATGTTGATACGGTTAACATACTGATAATGTTGATACGGTTAACATACTGATAACGTTGATGCGGTTAACATACTGATAATGTTGATAATAAGGCAAAGGTGCGCCAGAGTTCCTCCATGAAGATGAATGCACGTACATGTTCACCTGGAAAACATCACTCGCCTGCTTACAACAACAACAGCAACAACACATGCTCTCTTCGTGCACAATTAAGATCAACAACGACAATAAGACGTCAACTTTTGATCTGTCAAGATTAATGAGGGGCTTGTTACAAAGTAGTTGTCAACTCGTTATACGTGTTATAAAATTTAAGCATTGCATATATATATATGCACGTGTTATGTGTGTTCGTCCAGATGTGTTTAATATGCTTCTTCTGTTATATTAACCATATGAATGTGTGATTATATTGTAATTCATGTATTATCATTATTATTATTACCGTCCTACCTCGGGAAACTGGGTCTCTGGACGCTAAACGAAGGTTGATTGATTGATTATTATTATTATTGTTATTATTGATGAAAGTAAGAAAAGAAATGAAATGATGCTGATTCATATAAGTTAGTTACAAATGTAATAATTACAGAGCATCTTTGGTGCATTGTCCACTGTTTAGTTAATGCATCGTACGTGTATCATTTTTTTTTATAAATCCGCAGGTAACTGGGTGGTGAGGGCCAGCAGCAGCAGCAACAACACGTCGTCTACGATCATTTTAAACGTCTGTTCCACGTTATCAACAACAGTAAATAGTAACAACAACAAAAATAACAATAATGAAGATGAGAATCAATTTGCGAAAAACTGCCCACCAAGCAGCATCGTCTGCAGGAGAGGCAAGTGATTTTCTGTCCAGCACCATAATTTTTCTTCCTTCTGTCTGACAACAGCGTTTTGCTGTCATCATCGTCATCATTCGTTGATTCACGAACATTATTTTATCATAGCGATCATCATCATTTTTTGTGACGTCATCATAGCAGAATCATCTTTTTTATCTTCTAATATTTGAGGGGCGGAAATTATTACATGCAAATCTTATTTACTAAAATTTTATTTTGTGAAAATTAGGGAGGGTTTTTTGCTTTTTTTCTGTTTTTTAAAAGCGAAAAAACCTACCGAATAAATAATAAAAATTCACTCTTGTAGTAAAAAGTTAGACAAACATTTTTCAAAAATTGCATAATTTTCTAAAAAATTGTTAATGACACGAAATGCCTGTTTGTCTCTCTTTCAAATCATTAGGCAGGTCAAAAATTTTACTGTCTCCAGGTCAGCACCTACCACCATTGCCCCGTGTTCACTATCATCATTTTGATCTGCATCGCCCCATCGACACATTTTTTTTCTGCTAGATGCGTACTATCTTAGTTAGCGTCCACGTCATCGTCATCGTTACCGTCGTCATCATCAAATATTTGCTCCAGATAAAGACAACAGGTACGTGAGTCTGGGTAGCTACATGCAGCAGCCATATTTTGATGACGTTAGCAAGGCCGTTGTCATCAGGTACGTTGGCGGAGATGCATGCATAGCCACCAACAACCACAACAACGACACGAGCCACGACGCCACCAACAACACCCAACGGCGGCTACATTCTACTATGATATTTTTCCACTGCCTGCCAGGTTTCACTCCTTCTATGCAACTATTGATGGTGATGGTGAACATGACATTGTTTGAGTAGAAGTGATAGTAATTAGTTATTATAGTAATTAGTTATTATAGAGGTAGTAATAAATAATAGTCGTCGTTGTAGTAGCAGCAGTAGAGGAAGTAGTAAAATAGTAAAACTTTCATTAGTTATAGTTGCAGTCACGTCTGTTGGGTACTTACCTTGCTGGCTGGCATGGCTTGAGTTGCATATCACCATCCTTTGAGTGCTTGCTGGCTGGTGACTGCAGATGTAAATGCACCTTTCCCATTCATATGCACCATGTTGCCTCTGATCCTGTGAATGTTAATCTGATATCACGTCACAGTTATTTAAGAGCTTGATAGATTTGTGTCAAAAGCTTTAAAAATTTATTTGTCAGAGTTTTATAAATTACAAATTTAATACTTTTAGGTGCGGATAGTAGCGATAGTATTAGTAAAGTCTTTACTGGTTTTGGTATTCTTAGTATTTTTGCAATAGCAGTTTGACCAATACTGCTAGTTCTACTATCGCTATGTATGTACCCACATAACATTAGGTTATATCGTGCAATGAGTTCTTCACTAACTTGCTAACCAACCAGGGAACGATCAGACGGAGCCGACCCTCTTGAATGGGACATTGGATGGATGCGAGGTGTTCGTAAGTTGGCACACTTCAGTTGCATGCCCACTGACTCACCTGCTTGGTGAGGACTGTTCCATCAAGGATCCTCTCACTGGTAGCTAGCTCATTTCTTTCCACATTACAATTATTAATATCACTATTATATATTTGTCCTTATATGCAGAACACATTGAGGTTTGAACTTTACCCTTATATACAAATTCATTAAGGTTTGAACTTTGACCTGAACCCTCTCAAAAAGTTGCCAACTTCACCAACTGGTTTCTACAAAGCAGTCACGAGAGGTGGCAGTTACAGTGTGGAGCATGAGTACTTCATAAACGTGTGCGGTCCTGTACACAGTACTGTCTGTAATGTTCGGAATGCTTCTTATTCAGGCCTCAAACCCAATGCTGGAGTCTGTCAAGTTTCAAAGTTCTACAGAGAGTTAGTCCATTTATTACTTGCTGCAATGATGGATGTATCGGTGAATGAATAATTCTTTTGTAAAAATTCTAATGAATTTATGTAGTCGTTATATTTTATAGTTTATTTTAGCTGTTACAATAATTTTCAGTCAGCACCTCCATCGTCAGTTGCACCACGTTTGAATTGCCTCATCGTCACTGTCATTACAGCTCTTGCCATCTTTATCATTATCATTGCCATCATCATCATTGTTATCACAAGGGTTATTACTATCCCGACCACCCCCATCACTACCCCACTCCCTCCACCACCATCATCATCATCACCATCAGCAAGCAAGTGCACAACACGGGTCAGTGGAGCTCCCAGCTGCACTACAGCGATGGCCGCTTGAAGCTGACCTACAGGAATGGTGACGACTACCGATCCAACCCGCCAGTGCCCAGACACACAGACATCGAGTTCGTCTGCGATCATCAGTCGGGCCTCGACACGTCACCCATCTTCGTCGAAGAAACACAGAGGACGTACAAATTTATTTGGATGACGTCACTTGCCTGTTCGTCTGGTTCGACAGGCCAGCAGGGAGGAGCAGGTTTGAACACCTGTGCTCTGCTCAATGGCGGCGATGGTGCTAGATATGACCTTTCCAGGTTCGATAATAATTTTTGTGCTTATTTTTATGTTAGGAATTGTTGTTTGATTACTTTGTAATTTAACGTTATTTCCATCCTAGCATAATGTTATGTTTTGTCCGTCATGTTCCTCCTTCCTTCATGTTAAATGCGTGACACTTTTGTAAATATCATTTCCTTTTTTGAACTTTTAAAAATCTCCATCGCGCAACCAGCCTAACGAGGTATGAAAGCAACTGGATGAAAGTGGCCACTCTCAATGGGAGGCTGGTCAAGTTGATATTCAACGTGTGCAGGAGCGTTCTTATTGGTTGGGAAACTGCCTCCTGCGACCCCTCGTCCAGTGCCTGCCTCATCTTCCTCGACAAAGTCTGCCATTCAATTCATTTGTTTTTTTGTTTGTCTATTATTAAATATTCTATTAATTAAACTACTAAATGAAGAAATTGAACAACCTGTAACAAAAATTTCAAATTTCTACTGCACATGTGAAGAATGAAACCGTTTCTCTCGGAAAATCAATCAGTCATCCAATCATGAACAAGGACAAACAATTGACCTTGAACTATGACCTTGGGGACAGATGCAAAGAAGATAACAAGCTTAGGTACTCGTTAAGCATAAAGTTCTTCTGCAAGCAGCTTGCCACGGTTGGTTGCTGTAGTAGTGGTAGTTGTCGCTATTTAAGTCATTGCTGTGGTCTGTGAAGTAAATTTCATCGCCGCCACTCTTAATTTCTTTATGAATTTTTATTGTTAATGAACTTGGTTGAGAACAACTTTCCAATGTAATCATTGCATTGCATTGTGATTATCATCTTGATGTCTTATCATCATCTTGTAAATTAAATCACTCAATTATGTACCTACGCATACAATCATTATCGCATCACTATCACAACACACCTACTTTTAATCATCGTCGTCGTCATCATAATCACAACCACCAAAAGATGCCAGACATACAACACGTGACCATGGGTGATGATGATGATGGTTGCGCCTACAACATACACTGGATCACATCAACGGCATGCCCTATCAACGACAGCAGCAGCGGAAGCAGCGTTGATGACAGCTGTCGCTTCAATGACATCATCAATGATCACGTTTACAACTTTAATGATTTCAGAGAGAAAGTTTATGAAATTAATGTAGGGGGGAGACTTTATAAAGTTGGTAGTTGTTGTTAGTAATTGTTGTTTGTTTGCTGCTGTTTTTTGATCGTTTGCTTGCATTAGTTGTTGTGTTTTTTGTTGGTTTCTGTTAGTTGTCACGTGTTGTTGTTGTTGTTAGTGTTTTGTTGCTTCTTGCTATCTCCAGTGTTTTGTGATGTCCATAATTTGTTTTATTCATTTATTTAATTTATTCATCTATTAATTTTAATTGACTGCGTTTATTTGATCATTATTTGCTTATCCTCCCGTTGAACCAATTCCATATTTTCAAATGAAATTGAGGAAGTTATAGGAACGTTAAAATGATCACGATGAGATGTTATATGAATTCGTCATGAGATATTGGGATGCTGGCTCGTTATCGCACTGTAACGCCATCGTCATGAGATGAAATGAACTGATGCTATCCTGATGAACCACCAGGTTGCCCTCTGCGGCTCATTGAAGATATGCAAGGATGATGTGGCAGCTGTTCTGTGTGCAAGTGACGGGCAGGTTGTTGCCAGGATGAACGAAAGGTCAATTAAGGTCAATTCAGATGGCCTGCCCGAGATTCAGTTCTCGTCGTGTTAGCTATCCTCATTCACGAGATCTCATTGTTCATGGCTATTTCAATTAATCGTGAAATTTCAACTCTGTGTTGATAAATTCGATAAATTGTATATCCAATTAATGCCTCATAAACTGATGTTAACATTTTAATTAAATTTCAGCAAAAATCAACATTTCTGTCCAAGTGTCCTGCGACAAAAACCTCTTACTAATCACCAATATGTCCTTGACATTTGTCAAAAACATACCCTATTGGTCAGTATTCAGCATCAGACACGCCTCTTTTTGTTTCAAGAAGTTAATTTCCTGTCAAACATACGATGACCTTGGTTTCAAGTATGACCTTGACCCACTTTACAAAGATGCCGTTGGTTACACTGCCGGGAACGAACGAGGAGACCGTGTCGAGTTCAACGTTTGTGGGTCACTTGGTGACGGCAGCAGTGCAACTTTGAACAATAATAATTGTTCAAGTTAGTGATGATGGTGATGATAATGATGGTTGTTTGTTAGTGATGATGGTTGCTGGTGATGATGGCTGTTTGGTGATGATGGTTGAGGTTAGTGATAATGATTGAGGTTGGTTGGTGATGACGACGACGACGATGATGATGATGAAAATTAGAAATTTTAATTACATCCTGATAGTATGTAGTCACGTTCAATAATAATAACTTGCGAACAACAACAACGTCAATATCAATATTAATTGTTATTATTATTATTATTACAACTACTATTATGCGGTTTGTTTGATAATGTAATAAAATTCGTGGTGATGATGAAAAATTAAGGGCCAGGAGTTGGAGCATGCGCACACAAGGTGGGCAGTGATGTGACGTCATCAATTGACGCTGGCCATGTCATGTCATCTCCGAGTCTGGATAACTCATCAGGTCGTTATGGTGGCGGTGATGATGAGGCTGATGATGGTTGTGTTGTTGTTGATGATGATGGTGTTGATGATGAGGTTGATAATGGTTGTGTTGTTGTTGTGATGATGACGATGATTTAAATGGTGATGATTTGGAAGATGGTGGTCATGCTGACTGTGATGTTATGGTGGCGGTGATGATGAGGCTGATAATGGTGACGACGGCAACATTAACATGCACGTTAAAATGTACATGATTGCTAGATGAAACGGCCCTCATTACCCTGAACATGAACTTTCAGATTCTTCCGTGACCTTGACCTACACTGGTGGAGATCAATGCGGCAGTGGCAGGAGGTCATCCAGGGTCAAGTTTATATGCTCCACTACCCAGGTATCTATAGCAAAGTCTCTTAATTGTTTACCCAATGTCCCACTTACTAATGTATACTTGAAAATGAATGAACGGTTAAGAATCATGAACATTTATAAAAAATTAAAAGAAAATAATTTCAATGTTTCACATTTGTTGGATGCCCATGATGAGGTGCCATCTTTATAAGCTGTTGTTTATATCATCTGGCAGTGTTGGTAAATTTTGCGGTGTTCGTGAATCTCTTTCCTGGAGAAGATCTGACCTTAAAAAGGGCGTGCATATTCTCCAGTTAAGAGGATTTCATTCATGCATCCCATTTCTGCTCTTTGACTTTTAAATGTTTGCCCCTATGATTACTGCCTTCTAAGAGATTGTCTTGAGTAGAAGTCTCCTTCATTTCGATGCTTTAACGACCAAATTCTGTTTTCGTGTACCTGTTTTACCATCAATATGATTATTTGCATACTTCATCAGAGTGACCCAGTTTTATTGACCAATAATATCGAGGAGTGCGACCTACTTATCGAGTGGAAAACTCCACATGCGTGCCCTTTCAAGGTCTGTTAACGTTGCTACCCGGCCATCCAAGTTATCATTCTTTCATCATCATTATCATCATAATCGTCATCGTCAACATTCATCTTGCCATCGTCAACATTCATCACGCCACCGTCAACATTCATCATCACGTCACTGTCAACATTCATCACGCCACCGTCAACATTCATCATCACGTCACTGTCAACATTCATCATGTCACCGTCAACATTCATGTCATCGCAACAATTTTATCATCATAATATTACCATCGTCACCATGTCGTTACTTACCGCCATCTTGACATCATTACCATCACCACTTCCATTTCGACGCCAGTCAGTCACAGGAAGCAACTGCATGGTAACTCATCCCTCCTACCCATTGTTCACCTTCAATCTCACCCTCCTCAAGCTTTACCCCAAAGATTACGAGTTGGATTTTGATGGCGGGGAAGTTTTCCTCATGCACGTCTGCTCGCCTGTCAACAACACTGCTTGTAATAGTATGAAGGCTGGTGCTTGCATCGTTCATGGCTCTGGAGGCAGTGAGCCTGCAGCCCCGGTTGATAGCATGGGTGAGGGATTGATTGGTTCATTTGGTTGATAGCATGGGTGAGGGATTGATTGGTTCATTTGGTTGATAGCATGGGTGAGGGATTGATTGGTTCATTTGGTTGATAGCATGGGTGAGGGATTGATTTGTTCATTTTTTTAAAGTGGTGATTATGCTTTGAAGAATGATGACGTGATAACACTGATGCAGCTGTGCCATTGTTGTTGATGGTGATGATGATTAAAAAGATGGTGGTGATGTTGGGGGTTGTGGTAATAATGATAATTGGGATGATGTTAATGATGGTGACGATGATGTAGAATGATGATGACGATGGTGATGATGTCGTTGATGAAAGTGATTATGATTCTGACGATTTCTCAACTCGAGATCCTAATAGAATTGATCTGTCTGTTGTGCAGCATGCCATAATGAGGTCCTTATGAGAGTAATGCAATGCCTGAGTGATGATTTACCTGTAAATCGACTTGACACGCGATTTAGAGATGGGGAGATTCTTTCCGAATGCACAAACAAATGAATGAATGAATGAATTAACGAATCTATCAATCAATAAATCAGTTAAGCATTCCATTAAATTGAACGTACTAGGTGTTTACAATGAAGATCTCGTTTACAACGACGGGAAACTGACCTTGACATACACCTACTCCTCACCGTCATCCTCATCAGCTTCATCACTATCAAAATGTAAAGGCAATCGAACGACAACTATAGATTTTGTTTGTGAGTTGGGCAACATCGGGCTGACCAGTGGGCCCATGTACCTCGGAGGCAATTGTAACAGGAGGTTCGAGTGGGTGACTTCCCTGGCCTGCTTTGATCAACCGTGAGTTTTTTTTCTGGGGGGTGGGAAGATGATGATGATGGTACGATTGTGATGAGAAAAGTGATGATGCTTTTGTGATCGTAATGATAAAAACTTTAACGGAATGATGAAGCTGGAGATGATGGGACAATAAGGATGGCAATAATAATAAGATGGTGATTACTTATGTTAATGTCTATTTTGATTAAGTGAATACTTTGCTTACCATCGAATAAATTTTACTTCTCCCACTTACCCACTCACAAACTACAACGACAGATCAACAAAAACAAAGACAACAACGACAACGACGACGACGAAGTCTCCCGCGATAGCACCAACATCGATTTCGACACCAAACACACGCCCCCTACCTACTGAAACCGGCCAACGAGAAAAAGGTGAATCTAACAACTCATCGAGCATCGTGGGTGCCTTTGTAGGCTTATCCATCATCATCATCTCCGTCGTCTTCATCATCGTCGCCGTTCTGATATACAGAAAGAGGTATTCTATACGCAGGTATCCTTTTTGTATTTCATTTTGTATTTTGTACTTCGTTTTATAGTTCATTTTGTATTCTGTATTTCATTTTGTATTTCATTATGTATTCTGTATTTCATTTTGTATTCTGTATTTCATTTTGTATTCTGTATTTCAGTTTGTATTCTGTATTTCATTTTGTATTCTATATTTCATTTGGAATTTTGTATTTCATTTGGTATTTCATTTTTGACTGAACCGATAATGTTTTGTTGCTAGTGTATTGTGGACGTTTTTTGCAATAATTATTATAGTTATTATTACCGTTATTAACACGATGATTATGTTGGTGACGACGACGACGATGAATGATGATGATGTTACTGACAGGAGGTTTGGGAGAAGTTATGAGCACGTGAGGGAGCAGGATTACCAGTATTCAAGGGTCAGCCACTTTTTTTATTACTCATCATTTCGTTTAACTTGAAAATTTACATCGTCATTTTAGTTAATATTTTTATTTTGTTGCTATACCATTTTAATCAAAAATAATATCTCAATAAAGCATCATCAAATCCTGACGGTAATTTTTCTCAACTCTTGCCATGTAACAGCTATCAGAACGAGAACCAGTTCTCCTGCATAACGTGACGTATGATGACGTCACTCGCGACGTCACTCATGGCGGCAACAACGTCAACGGAACGTCCGGACGAGACGATGACTTGTTTTCAAACCTGCTCAGTGACGACGACGACGATTTGCTGCTATGATGAAACATCTTCCATTTTGATTTTTCTTCTTTAAATTAACTTTTCATTTTTTTGTTTCTTATCACTCTTATTCCTCTCAACCGCTGCCTCGTCATTGGAGTCATTCGACGACACCGCATCAACTAACAAACTGCTGGCAAGCAGAAATTGTTTAACAATCGACTCTGTAGAAAGAAGTACACTCTGTACTGTGTACTGTACAAAGTGTACTGTGCGTGATTCGTGTACATTTTTATAAGGTTTCTAATTTATTGGTTCGGTCGTTGTTGGGGTCGGTGATTTATTTTTAAGTCTTCCACTGAACGAATAAATGAATGAGTGAATCAACCAACAATAAGTGGATGAATGAATGAACGAATTAACCAATGAGTGGATGAATAAATGAACGAATTAACCAATAAATGGATAAATACGAGAGCATGATAGGATGAATGAATCAAACCTTGTGTAAATACGGATCTTTAATTCTTTCATAATCTCGCGTAATGCAATGATTAATTGACAATCTCGTCTTTTTAGTTTTACCCATACATATTATGATTGGTTTTTTCAATTTATATTAAAAATTTTCTTTTTTTCTGCATAATTCTTAATAACTTGTTTAATTTGTTAAGTGTTTTTTAGACGGACAAGCTTAAATCGTATACCATGATTGCCTCCATCACGGCACTGGCTAATTTTGGCGTTGCACTCTCCACTCACGTGCATCACTTTCCCTCCCGTACCAGTTCAAAATTCACGACATGTGATCCACTTTTCTTAAAAATTTATTAGGTTCTTCAACTCTATTAGCGAAAAAACTGGTAAAAAAATTCTACATTTCTTTTCTCATTTTATCCTAAGTTTTTTTTTACGTGATCTGACATCAAGAACATTCTCGAAAGAATTTCTTTCATCAAAAAACTCCCATTTTTCCATATCAGAGCACGTGGGTAAATACTTTCCCGTTAAACACGCTCGGGCAATGTTTCTCGTCGAACAACGAAACATTCATTGTGTGAAGCTACGACATCCGTCCGTAACTATTAATTTAACTGTTAATTATTAAATAATTAAGTTTTAACGAAATTTCGAATTTGACATCCCCGCCAATCTACGGACCAACTTATCAATTAGTACAATAAACTTTGTATGGAATCTTTCAATAAATTTAATCAATCACCCGACAACAATGCCTCAAAATACACCAGCTGTAAAACGATTCCAATCAGTAAAAAAATTCAAAATTATATTAACCAATATAAATAACAATTAAACAAAAGACATTAAAGGAAAAAAATGTCAATCAGTCTACAAATTGTTAGCAGATAGAGCTTGAAGTACAACTGCTAGACAGGTGTGTGTGTGTACTCATCTGTACTATCGATCAATCCAGTACCACTATGCCAGCATTTGATGCGGCACCATCATCTCCACTGGTCTGACTGCTCGATGGTAGTGATGATGACGACGAAGATGAAGATGGCAGTGGTTGAGATGACGATGATTGTTGGAGCGATATGGGTCTCCACGGTTTCCTCCCTCCTTTCTTAAAATCTTGAGTCGTCATCTGCTTTCTCACTTGCCTGCAATTGTGATGTAGTTATGCGCAACAATATTAATGTAAAAAATCACAGCAATTCAGCTATAAGTGCACATATACGCTCAGACACATAGTTACGCAAACACATACACACGCGCGCGCGTACGTAGGCAGACAAACATACACATACTTGACTGATTCAGTAGCATGAAAGAAAATGTCCTCTAAAGCTTCAAAAGTGCTGTGTTGTCGATATCTGCCTTGTTGTTTCGATGTGTTGTTGTTTGCATTGGTTGTACTGTTGTTGCTACTTTGTTGTTGTTGATGTTGATTCAGTCTGTTGATTGTTGATCCCCGCATCTGAAATAAATTGAGTTAGTTTTGCAAACCATGTCATATCAGACGTTATTTAATATTATATATTGCCTCGAAAAGTGGTGCGTGCATGTCACACGCGCTGATAAAATATGAATATCTTAACAGCAGTACCACACATGAGTTTGTTAAGACACCAATAGAATAAAAAAGTCAACAGAATACAAAGACATCCAACTATTCCCTCGTAATTAAAAGAACATGACACGTGTTTATATGAAACCATTGGCTTAGATGAAAAAAGTAACAAATTCTACTACAGGCTGATGAGTCTCAATTTTTACTTTTGGTTGGCTCTGTTTGACCACTGATCCTGTTCTGGTGGCAGGTTGTGATGAAGATGATGACAGTTGTGCTGCTGCTGCTGATGATGAGGGTGCTAACGATGGGGCGGCGACCAGGGGTGGAGCCATCTTTGCCGGTGGCATGCCTGTTTTGAAATTTTTTTAAATATTTAATAATGCAACGGCCATAACATTAATTAACAGTCAAACGTGGACGAAATTTTTATTTCAAAAATAATCTTGAAAAAGAACCTTCATCATCATTATCACGAGCTCTCTTCTTAGACTGGCCACCTCTCTCTACTGCACCACTTGCGCCACTGTTCGTGTCGCCATTCAGACCAAGAACCTTTGAGCTGTGATGGTGTAGAAGACTTGGCTTGTCCATTTTCGTGTCGATTCCTAACTTGGCCGACACCTTTTCCATGGGAATGCGCTGACGAGATTTCAACATGCGCAGCTTCGACATCAGCTCGGGCAGTCTTTGTTGACCTTTCAAAATGAAAACTAAAACTTTAGCTAATATAATTAATTAATTAATTTAATAAAAGTTTAGTTAATTTAGAAAATTTGAAACAAAAAGATTAGCAGACAAAATGAAATACAATAATTGAATGAAACGAACATTCTTGCTTGACAAGAGCCGTGTTGATGAGATGGAAAGGTTTCCTGCAGGCTCTCCTCATGTCCAATGAACTCTTGCATATCTTAAAATATATATTGAGAAATTTAATTAATTGCAGAGTGAGAATAATGAGTTTGATTGACAGGCGGATCATAATACTCAATCTACGTATAGTATCAATAATATAACTTGACAGATATTTTAACTGTATAACAATGGGAAACAAATAACTTTTATCTTAAATTATTCTAACAATCTAACCATGCCATCCATAGATGTTTTAAATCTAAATACTATTAATAATAAATGATGAACATTAGAAACCTGTCTTGAGATGCGAGTGAGTGGGGTGGTGATGAGACAAAAAGCAGCTCTGGTCTTCATGACTGGACACGGACTGTTGGAGGTCATTGACATTCCATGCACAGATGATAAGTGCTGCAGCAAGTTGGCCTTTGATCTGAAGTCAGTCTGCCGTGGTTGTTCAGTTGGTTAGTTGAGGTCAGAACATTAATAAGTATTGAACATGTTTTGTAGAAACTAAAAATTTAAATCAACAAATAAAAAAGTCAATAAAAAAGCTATAAAATAATAAATATAATACCTATAAAATACAAAATATTTACAATTTGAACCCTGCTTTTCAACCCAATACTATCGCAACGAAAGCACTAATGACAGATATAAAGAGCAAGTACATAAACAAAAACAAACATGGAGATCAAATAAATGCATCACAAACCTTTCCACAACCCTGAACAGTGCACTTGAAAACTTTGGAAGCTGTTGTGTTGCTACTGTGTCCATGTTTATCAATGTTGTTGCTAGCGTTATTGTTGTTAGCATTGGCATTATTCTGGTGATGATGATGGTTGCTATTCTGACTGTGATGATGACTGTTGTTGCCGCTGTTACTACTATTCTGATTGTTGTTATCTATTGGGTTGCAATTATGTTCTTGCATGTTAATAATCATCACTTCCCCACATAGAAACAATAAAAAAACATAATTTTTGTCGCAAACAGAGTCACCACAACAATTTTACAACAAGAATGTTACAACAATGTCATGATCACCACACAGCACCACCATCCTTTAAGCAGCAGCAGCAGCTAGCAACACTTACTTGTGGGTATCTTCAGTCCTCCATATTTCTTCCAGTAAACCCAGCACGACGAGCAGACTCTGCACTGCATGACAGCAGGTCCCCACAAATACCATTGATTCGAAGAAGAGGCTGTTGTTGTTGTTAATGTCAAGGTCAAATTAATGAGTGTGATGTGGATGAAAAAGTAAAGCGTGCATGCATGGCGTGAGATGTGAATAGGAGAGCTTGACATAAATGAACGTGCATGAAATATTGTGATGCTGTACAACATTGAATGGCAATCATCGTCGTAATAATAATAGAAATAACAAGACAAATAATATTTCAACATACTGTAGCAGCTTTCACAGGGTCTGCCATCTGGTTTGTCTGGAACTTGAGCTGGATTCGGTTTGTTGCTGGTGGATTTTAAATTAAATATAATTTGATTAATTAATCTATTCCATTCAAATAGATGTATTTACTAATAGATTTATAATATTAGGATGATTGTGAATGTTTGATGGATTGTGGATGTGTGATGGATTGTATGGATGCAGCATTCCAAAACTAATAAACCTACAATGATTGAAAAACAGAGAGAGAGAGAGAGAGAAAGAGAGAAATAGTAAAGAAGACTAACTAGCTTGGTATGTAAACTTGCTTCAATTTGCTCTCTGCCTCTGCAGCTTTGATTCGTTTCTGTTGAAAGATCATAAATAAATTCTACCATTAAAACTGTAAATTCAATTAATCACAAAACCATTGACTAATTATTGAACTGTATGCCGCGACACAATGGATAATTGTTTGAAATATAAAAAAATGAAGAATTTTAATGGTAATTAACCAAGTAAACAAAATGTTGAGTAATAAATTAGCAATAAATATATCAATCAATCAATCAACCAACCAACCAATCAACTAACCAACCAACCAATCAATCAATCAACCAACCTGCTGGATGTATCTATCAGTAGTTTTCCACATGTAATAATATTCTATCAGAGATTTGTGACTCTTCCACGGAAGCTGATGATCAAATTCATGTGTTAATACAAAAAATATTAATGACAATCACAAAAACTATTAAAAGTAATGGTAATAAATAATAACAATATATATAAAATAATTTTGTTTTCAACAAAAAATTATTAGAAATATGAAACAAGTAACATGTTCTAGTTGGATGACATCAATGTTATTGAATGACACCAGTCTTGCCCATTTAGTCGCAGACATTAAACTCATCAACCAATCAATCAAACAATCAACCAATCAATCAACCAATCAATCAATGTATTGATTTTAAGCCACATAACTGTTATGCATACAGCTAAAGTATCTCCAGAATAACTCTGGAACTGGAGGAGAAGGTTGAGAACATTTTGTAACAATAATTACAAGAATCAACACATTAATTGATGGTTATTAAAAACAATTAATAAAAAAATAAATTGAGTAAATAGGAATGATGACAACTTATAAACTAACATAATCAGCTCTGATTTCAATGAAGTCCTTGCCATATTTGTCGAGAGCTTCTTCAAAGAGATTGGCTTCGGAGGTTGACCACTCCTCCATCTCGTCCCGGCAGAGCACTGGTCCTGTGCTTGGGATCAGATCAGAGATGGCATCGGCAATGGCGTAGTTGTTCTTGTGCAGAAGGTTCATGGCATGGAACTAAACAATATATTCAGTATTAAATATGAGATGAAACATTGGTTATACATAACTCTCAAATTAGAGTTTTAATAACATCTCATTCACCATGCACCCATTCAGCATGCATGCATTCATCAAGCGACTGACCAGTGTGATGTCCCTGGAGGCAGCGGCAGCACTCATGTGGAGACTTGGCTGTCTGACAGTTGATGAACAGTCCAATGAACGTGCAAATGTGCCAACGGATCTGTTGGGCAGTGTGGTTAGATAATTATCATTTTCAACAATATTTTCATCTCTATCATTATCACCATCATCACATTGTTATCATCATATCATCATTAAAATAATAATCATCAATATTGGTAATTAATACAAATGAATGCATATTAAAAAAATTTTACCTGGCCACAATTTGAAAGTTTTCAATTTGTTTATCAGTGAGACTGTTGGATGGATCCCAGATGAGGTCCTCGAGGTCGGACAAATTTCTGCCATCATTTTCACCTGTAAATTTTAAAATATAGTTAATAAAGTGAAAAGTAATTACTAAGAAATAATCTTTAAATAAAGAAACAAAACGATAAACATTTAAAATGTGACACCTTTCTTGAGTAGAGTTGTTGGGTCAGCTTGAAATCTGGGGCCAACCCTGATCTCGCCTCGATCGGCCAGCAATGTTTTTTGCGTTGGATCATACACCAAGGAATAAAAGAATGTATCCTAAATCAAATCATTTTTCAATAATTTAATCATCATGAATAATAAAAATTAAATATCTAATTAATGCTAATACATAAAAGAAATATAAACAAAAGAATGCACAATAAATTAATTACTAACATCTCTGTTTAGGTATGATGAGAAGAATTCCGTTTCGTTGAGAAGGGTAATGTTGCACTTGCCTCTTATGTGAGTAGCGGGCAAGGTTTCACACTGATCGTTAAAAAAGTATTTAATCATTAAATATTAAATTAACCAAAACTTTATTAGACATAAAAAATTATGATGGCATAAACAAATAATTGAAATAAAAGGTGGAACCTGTCGAGAGAGAAAGAGTTCTCTGTGTCTCAACTGGTGCCTCTGTTTTTCATTTAATTCCTCCTTAGCAGCAACTACAATGGTGCCATTTTCCTCCTCAGATCCCCCAACTGTAATTTTGAAATGTACATCTAAAATTAAAGTTCACACAAAGTTAGAAATTATGTTAATAATTAATTAATTTCAATACATAAAAACATAAAATTAATACATAAATCAATATAAAGAAATTAATTGAATATTTAATTACTTTGATGTTTGTCAGCCAATGAAACCAAATTCTGAGAAATGTCTCTTCTTCGATAAAAGCACATAACCCTTGCCTCAACATTGCCTGTAGGAGTCTGGAAAAATAAAAAAAAGAAAATTAATCATTAGCAGTAGGACGAGCAACCAGGTTTTAGTTTATTTAAAGGAAAAGTATTTTCAAATAGTTCCTTACTTTGCAAAGTTCCTCTATCCTTCTTATTTGATAGGGCGCTGCACTGGACGTTTCAAAGTACACACAATCTGCAATTTAATAATTTTATTTAAATTAAGAGACTATATTAAATCAACTTATACCAGGGTGGCTATTTTAATGTATAATATAGCGCTTCACAATTTATGCATTTTCACGTAGTTGCCAGTCTAATATAATAATCAATTTCGATCTAAGGACGATAGCCTCCAGTTTTATGCTACAATCTTTGTAGCATAAAATTTCATTCTTAATTACGTCAAGAAACAAACTAATTAAATTTTTCTCGTGAGTTTTGACATCACGAAAAAACTTTCAAGACCGCATCACCACTTTCTACAATATTCATCCGCCATTTTCCCAAACATACCAACGCGAGACAGTTTACAATTGCAAAAATCATTAAAAGTGGAAAGTTTGAAAATTAAAAAACTAAATATATGTAAGAACGTCTTATCAATTAAATTAATAGTTCGAAAACTAAAACTCGTGGCGAGCGAGACCGGGAACCGGTCTTCAGCCGTTGCCGGCACTGCCCGCAAGCGTCGAGGCAGCGAACGAGAACAAAATTAATAGAACGGTACCAACCTCCCACACGGTACATGTTGGCGGCCATTATTTTCTCCAATCTAATTTTTTTTTGTTTTCAAACTTTCGAAAAGTCTTCTTCCTCTGGTGCCACACAAAACATCAACGAGGGACAAGAAATTAATGATCGGACGCAAGTGGCTTATATTTATAATGTACCAGTTTTGTAAGATCCGTACTATTAATATTAAAGCTTTTAATGAGGAACTAGTTTATATTTTCGGCGATCGCAGTCAGTAAAATTCTAGTTAGAAGAACAAGACAGGCGGAACTTAAAGAACCGAATTGTTCAATCTCGTTTCATCGATGTTGTGACTGCACGTAAGCCTATATATACGCACGCGAGAACGCACGCATGTGATAACAGTATAATAAAGCCTCTTTACAATCCGTGCTCGTCTATGTTTGGTTGTGTGTGCGTGTATATGTTCTCACTCGTATATATATATATATATATATATATATATGTATATATATATATATATGTTTACGTCTGTTTGCTGTCGTGTCTTTGTACATGTCCAGCATTTATTAGTTCTCTATTGCAACATTTTAATGGAAACAATGATAAAGAAACAGTTTTAATGTTTTTTCATTGAAAAAAGTGTATCTCGACACGAACAACAAGATACACACACACATATTTCCGGTTTTATAATTATTTAGTGACATTTTCCTGAAATAAAAACGTATACCTACCTAAGCAAGAATTTTTTGTTTATAAAATGTTTCATGTCCATGATTGAATGTAACAAAAAAAGTGCCCTCAACAAGTATCCAATACCTACTCCTTTCTTTTCACACACCCACAGGCGCGCACACACACACGAATAATTTTTACAAGCCACATAGATGTGCAATGATTGTAAAAGCAAGATGTGTAAATGACTGATTGTTAAACGCTTATTTGGTTATTGAAAATTGTAAAAATTATATTCAAACAACAACATAATTTGTTGTTTATTTGGTTATTGAAAATTGTAAAAATTATATTCAAACAACAACATAATTTGTTGTTTATTTGGTTATTGAAAATTGTAAAAATTATATTCAAACAACAACATAATTTGTTGTTTATTAAAATTGTAAAAATTATATTCAAACAACAACATAATTTGTTGTTTATTTGGTTATTGAAAATTGTAAAAATTATATTCAAACAACAACATAATTTGTTGTTTATTTGGTTATTGAAAATTGTAAAAATTATATTCAAACATAAACATAAAACTTCATTGCACACACACAATGAAGTTTTATAAAGCAACATTGACCTGAAACATTACATTTAAGCATGATCTGAAAATCAATGATAGTTAAACGCTAATTTGGTTATGTACAACTATAAAAAATTATCTTGAAACATATAAAATTGAAAATGGCTAAGTTAAGACAAACACATTACATTTAAAATGAATAAAGAGGGTACAAATAATAATTTTTATGTAGGAAAAATAAAAAAGTATAAAGCAAATCTTAATAAATACTAGCCATATTAAAGTGTAAAGTAAAGTTGGAAAATTTACTAGTTAACATTATAAAATATATTTCAACCAAAGAACATTGCAATTCCTGATTTTTGTAAACTCTTGCAGTGGACTTACTTACTGGTTGTCTGATTGTCTTTCTGTTTTAAAATAAAATTTAAAAAGAAATTAAAAATGAATAAATTAAATTAAAAGCTAAACTGACTCTTTAAATAAATAAATATACTAACTATTCTAACATAGTTACAAGAGCTGCTGATAAACATGGCAACAAACATGACAAACAAAGCAATCATGAATGTTGCTGGTGATATTATAAAACAGTGGTTGGCACTTGAACTTGGTGAGACTTCTGAACGAATATTATAACTAGTTAAAAAATCAACATGGCTGAGCTGTAGACTTGTGTCATTTCTGCTGTTAATGGGTGCAATTAACAAAGGAGCACGGCACTGCGGCACGTCAAACAGACCATCGTCTAGTAACAAAGAATCTTTGAAGAAAGATGTTATTGCAGGAACATTTGGAGGGTGGGTTAGAGACCAAAATGTTGAATTAATGTCATGGTCCATTGTTTGTATTTATCATTCAATGATCTAAATTTTGAACCATGTTTCAATCTTTAATTATATCTTTAGATCATCCCGACACGGAATACCACCATCAGCTGTCTCTTGAAAAAAATGTTGTGTAGCGTATGGAAAGTTAACCTTGTTTCTCGAAACCAACCAACTATGTCATAACTAGTTCTATGGAAACCCAACACAAATTAAAATGGCTCATAACACTGCCGGGCAAAAAAATGAACTTTAAGATTTTGATATTTAACAAGAATTTAATTTAAATTAACAAACAAAATTGTGCAAATAATAAAAATTTAAGAAACAAAAAACTAAATTCACTTTTAAAAAACAGAACCTGGATAATTCTGATTTATCTAACTAAAAGCCCACATTTAATCCCATTATCTATATTTGGCTCGTTTTACACAAATAATAAGTTATAACGTCTAACATCAATTAGACTTGTTAATACTAATGTCCCTATAAACAACGCAGTCAAAACACTTGGCGTGGTCTTTGATAATAAACTCACGTTTTTTGGTAAATTTTGACGATTGCTAAATCATGTAATTATCTCATAAAAAAAACGCTGCATCAAAAAGTTTTTATTCATCGACTTGGCCAGTAAATTAGCACGATGTTTGATTGTGTCCAAACTTGATTACTGCAACTTTACAATGTTTGGCATATTTCTGAAACAAGAAACTTGTCTTCAAAGATTAATGAATCGCGTGGTTAGAGTTGCATTTGATATCGACACATTCATTCATCATACGACATCCACTTTTTCAAATATAAATAGTCTACACTGTCTCTCATTTCATTTTTCCATTTATTATAAAATTGCGGTCTTTGTCTTTATGTTGCTATCATCATATTTGCCAGCACATCTCAATAATTTACTACATCTTAAGTTGACTAATTAACGTTTTTGCTTTGCCAAAGCAACATTGCTTCTTCCACACAGGTCAATAACCTGCATCGGCAAGCAAGCATTTCGTCATACTGCTCCAATCATCTGGAACTCCCTGCCTCCCGATGTCAAAGTTTCTGCTCTATTTAAAAATCTAAATTATTATTAAAGACTTATTATTTCACTGTAGCATTTAATTGAATCTAAACACTTAATTACTATTTCTTCCATTATTTTACCTGATTCTAAGACTCTGGATGTTTTTCATAAGTATCGTAGCCCAAGAAGTTTTATCTTTTATTTTAGCATGTCTTTTTTTCAAATTAATAATGTTGCTAAAAGTTCTTATTTTTATTTACGTAGAAAAAAAATTTTTGCTTGTTTTTGACAATCCTACCTTTTTTTTTACTTTTTTAGTTTTATCTAAGATTGATTATTAAAACTTGCTCTGTTATAGCTTTTCTTATTTTACACTTTATTCTTTATGTAAAATTTTTAACTTTGCTGCTTGTTTAGTTACTCGTGCTCTTCTCTTTTTTCATATATCTCCATATCTTGTTCTTTTGCACGGGCTGCCAATAAAATATAATATAATTTTTAAAATTTGCACATTTGTGATTAAATCTCAATCTATATTATTTTTTATGTATTTACAATTGCCTTTTTGTTATCACTTCTTACATTTTTTCGCTAAATTTGCATTTGCTTTTTCTAGCCCATTTTTCTGGCCCATTTTTCTGGCCTTCTCAAACCGTTTTTTCTGATTATTTTTCCACCACATCACTTAACAAAGTTTAAAGCAAATTTCATGATCAATCTGTTTGCAAAATTTACTGAGGAGCGCTGTTGAAAATTGCGGATATGCGCTTTACAATCTAATTGATGGATTGATTGATAATTTGATGACGTTTTTTTTTTGAAAAATATCAAATTATTATTTGAATAAAAGTAACTAATTTAATTTATTTTTTAAATAGTTTTTAGAAATAAAATTTTGTAGACATTTTATTTTAATTAAAATTTTGTTGTCTTTGGTTGAATTGTAAATATTTTAGGCATGCCTTACTTTGTTTTACAATTCATACTTTGTATAACATTTATATATATATATATATATATATTTATTTATATATATGTCTGTATAAATAAAAATGTATACCTCTGTCGTGAAAGTTCATCATTAGTTCATTGCTACGTTGACAATCGTTGTTAAAAGTTAAATTTAAATTGATTATAAATTAATTTCTTTTTTTTTTCTGTTTCTACCCTTATTTTATATCGCTTAAAATTTTTAACCAATTTTCAAGTTAAAATGTTTCATAAAGGAAAAGAAATGAACATTAGTGGTGATTCAGTTAGTTCACTTTGCTATTTGTTGCTATTTGGATTTTATTTTAATGAAATTTTTTTATGTATTCATTATCTAATTTAATTAATTAATAGCATATTAATAGTATTAATATTTCTTTTTTCATCTCCATTATATTTGTTAAATAATTTTTGAATTAACAATCTGATTTGACATTTGAGTAACTGAAGAATACATGGGGAAGCTTGACGATTGATGAGGAATGTGCTCAAAGATCATGGGCGTAATATTTATACTATAAATATAAATAAGTTTTCATAGAATAGGTCTAGTTATAATAAGAATACACTGTTCCTCACATTCTTGAGTAAGTTATAAAATTCTGAGGAAGTATAAATATTGATAGACTTGTATTTAAAGTTGGAATTATCTGGATGGGACCTCAATATGAGTTAAAATATTCATGTCTTACAAGTGATTTTTATGTTCTAAAACATAGAATAGACACACAAGTCATGTCATAATATGGTCTGATCTTGTATTTATTTTGATTTCAGTTACCTAAGCCATAAGGAATTAAAAATTTTGTTGAAAAGAAAAACATTGAATTTATGAGTAAAATGTCAATTTTCTCTAAACAAATATTTATGGCAAAACTGGGGCTTATTTGCTCAGGTTAATGATTTGGATTTATGAAAACAATTTCAAGTGGATGGGGCACAACATATTCTTCAACAAAATCAATTTCATTTTTAAACATTTTTTTCTCATTTGATTTTTATTAATTGTTTGACTTAATTTTTAAAAAAACAAACAAGGTATAATTAAAAATTTGAAGAATTATTAATTTATTGTTTGATCACAAACTTTAAATTTTTTATTTCAGATGATGCAGTTGAAGGCAGAGCTTATTAAAAAGCAGGATGAATTCAAGAGGCTGAAACTTGAAAATTCCTCCCGACCAATTAAGAAAAGGGTTAGTTAATTGATTGAGTTATTCAAGTTTTAAAAAAGAAGTTTTCAAAAAAAATTAATTGGTTGCTCTAATTTATTGTGCTGATTATCATTTTTTTAAATTTTTTTATTCAGAAAATTGAAACGAAAAGTTCTGTCGAGAAAAAAAATGTTGGAGTTGATAAACGATCTCAGAAAGATTTGGAAGAGAAATTAGAAGAACTTAACACATTTCAGAAGTCCAAGTAAATCTGTTCACATGTTGATTCATGTTTGATGATCCACCATATAAAACTGCCTGCATACACTTTTTACAAAATTATTTTCATGAAATATAGATTTCATTCAATAATTTATTTTTTAATTTGTTTAAACCAACAGAAATACTCTGGAAAAGAAAGCCAAGTTGTATGAAAAAATGTCTCAACAGATGCTCAATGATGGTTTGTTTCTTTTTATTTTCTTTAATTTGTGTATGGCAAGATGAAGATGATGGGATGAAGATGATGAGAAGATGATGGGATGTGGCAATAGTAGAGTAATGGTTAAGTTGCTTGGTCTTGCTGATGCATTTGTTGGGTTTAAATGTGTGGATGTATAATTTTTTTAAGAGAGTTAATAATAATGATGATAAAAACATAAAATAACGTTCCGTTAACGTGTTTTCGAATGCAGAGGACTACCAGAAGTTACCATTTCTTGTGGATTTTGAGCAGAAAGTGATTGACAAGTCGATCGAGAAGAAGCGAAAACAGAACTTGCTGGAAGAGAAGATGAAAGCAGCTCGAGCCAAACTGACGAGTAATGAGAAGAATGACAACAATGTTAACAGGCCAGGAGTAAAAAGAAAAAATTCTGACAATGAAGATGATGACGAGTATGAAAATGATGGTGATGATGATGATGGAAGTTTGTACAAGTCCAACAATCCTGATGAACAATGGTTAGTTGATGATAATGGTTTTGATTTGTTGGTGCAAATGATGACGATGAATATAATGATGATGATAGTGGTGATGATTGAGGTGATGAGGATGATGAGGAAGTTATGAAAATGTGATTAACGGTCCAGGTTGTGATATCAATGACGATTAAGTCGACCGCATCAGCATGATTTCGTTTCGTTTTGATTTAATTTCATGACGTCATTTTGCATTCTCAACGATCTCTGCATTGTTATCTGCATTTGCATCCATCACTGAACCACGCCAGGGTGGAGTTTGAGGATAGCTTAGGCAGGACCAGGAGATGTCTTAAAAAGGATCTCGAGCACTTCAAAAGTTTGGACAAGAAACTGAACATCAATAAACCAGATCAGAAAGAGCTGATTAACAAGTTTGTATTTCAAATTTTTTATAAATATATTTTAATATTACTGTTGCTTAGACTCTTAGAGGATATTTTTGATGATAAATTGAAATTGGATCAATTGCATACAGTTATAAACATATTAATCATTTTATTTCTTTTTATTTTTCAGTTCTATGGTTGAACCAGAGTTGATGTCGAATGATATGAGGAGAGAGATAGAGAGAAGAAAATGGGAGGAGGAGGTAACGAAGATGAGGATGAAAGATGAAATTCATTACTCTGATGTCACCTTCAATGGTTTGTTTGCTTTCTGTCTGTTCATCTATTTGTCTGTCTGTCTGTGTCTGTTTGTTCATCTGCTTGTCCGTCAGACTTTGTTTATTCACCTTTTTGTTTATTTGTTCATCTGTTAGCTGTTAGTTCGTTTGATTTTAAAAAATTGAATATATTTTTTATTTATTCTATTTTTAAAACTTCTGTAACTAGCTTTTAGATTAAAAATTCATTGTTTTTCCATACCTTTTAGAAATTCGAGACCACGGTGTTGGCTTCTACAATTTTGCGCGAGATGAAGAGACGAGGAAGGAGCAGATGAAAGTGCTTGACCAGCTGAGACAACAGGTTGCTCTTTGTTATCATTTGCTTCTATTTGTTATTATTATAATTATTATGTATTTTTATTATCTTTTGTTGTTATTTGTAATTATCTCTCGTTTGTTGCTAGTATTTAATTTTTATCGTTTCGTTCATTACCATTCATTGTAATTTTTCTATAACTGTTTATCACAATTATTATGGTTTTTGATAATTTTAAATATTGCTTCAATCCGACATCCAGACCAAAATCCAGCGAAAAATATTTTCATCGTTGAAAGAGAAGAGGAAGCGCGCCCTTGACATTCGACTGGCGAAGGTCATGCAGAGGTCAATAGTTCAGGAGGCCATCAAGTTGTCAGGACTGGATCCTCTCACTTTCATTGGTGAGTATCCTTTTAATGCATTTCAGTTGATCTTTCTAATTTCTGTATTCGAGATGAATATCATGGTGTGCAACTGCATGACAACCTCGACCTTATCTTTCAACCGTCATCACGGCACCATTGTAGATAAGAACTCAACATTCATGACGTGCATCTACGAGGATGACGATGATGAAAATGAAGAGGCGTTCACTGGTCCCAGGCCGCCAGACGTGGCCCCCAACAATGCTGACGTCCTGGCAGGTAAAGAATGCGACGACGGTGAGGACATCATTGAAGAATGGAAGAGAGATGATTCTTGGAGGAAGAATGCTCCAGTTCGAGAGTGGGACGTCGGAAAGAAAAGTGAACTTTTCTATGGTTTGTTTATCTGTCTATTTGTTTATCTGTCTGTCTGTCTGTCTGTTTTTCTATATAGCACATCGTTATTTATTACTTCGAGTTAGATTAATTAGATGTGTCTGTTTGTTTCGGCGTTGTAATTTTAAACTTTTTCATTTTCAGAGGATGAGGTGTGGCTGAAAAAACGAAGATCAGAAAGAGTGAAAGAGTTTGCTCCGCCCACCGCTTTCTACGACAGCCAATCAGATGATCGCTTGCATGGTGGCAAAAGAAAGAATAATAATGACGTAAAGTTGAATAGCAGAGATTTCTTCAAATCGAAATTGCACTTCTATAAAGACAGCGGTGATGTATCCATGGAAACTACTGAAGACAGCAAAACTGAAATTAAAAATGATAAGAACAATGATGCCTTGAGTGATGATTGCATATCATTGGATGATCAGATTAGCGCCACTTTGAAAGAAATTAGAGGTGGTTCGGTTGGTTTGGAGGTTCCGGTTCCTGATGAAAACAACAACAAAAACATTGAAAACATGGATATTGGAAGTATAAACATTAGCACCAGTATTTTCAATCCAAGCATATCATCGTCGTCGTCGTCGTCATCGTCATCAACAGCACCAACTGCAAGCAACAGCCAGCATGTTTCCAATGCGTGTGACAGCTTCAACTCATATAACGTTTTCCCATACAACAGCAGTAGCCATGATATTAATTATATGAATAGTTTGTATGCATACTACAACTATTATAACAATAATAACAACAACCACATCATTAACAACAACAACAACATTTACAACAACAACAACTTTAACAACAACAACAACGACGCTGTCACTGGAACACGCCTACACATTAACCTCCCCACCTTCCTTCCCTCCTTCCTTCCATCTCCCCCCACCCCAACATCCACTATCCACGCTGTTGCCATCTTTTAATGCAAACGAAGCAAGTTTGGTTGGAACGTCAACAACAACAACTGCAACTTCAACAACTGCAACTTCAACAACTGCAACTTCAACAGTACCATCAACATCAACGTCATCAGCAACGATAATTTTAACAACAGCAGCAATTACTACGACACCACACGAGCCACAGCAACCACACCTCCAGCAGCAACAGCAACCACAACAACAGCACGTCTCAGGACCGCAACCAGCTCATTTCTCGTGTGGTCCAATGAAATGCCAACCGCAATCACGCCCTGCAAGATATGAACCCATTCATATTCATGAGATCCCCCTCACCCTACCTCCACCTCTCTCCACCAACTACCCTTCGCAAGAAAAATTTATCTGCAAATCTGAAAATAGCAACAACAACGAGCAAAGAAATATAAAAAAATGGCAGCAACAATTTAACACGAGCAACAGCACCAATAAAAACAACAACATTAACAACAATGATGGCAATACATACGCCATTAATCCAGATACGTTGGATCAGCAGGTTTCCTTCTCATCATCGTCAACGCCGTCATCATCATCATCGCTGTTGATCTCGGAGTTGAAGCCATCGTCGCTGCCGTTCGCATCTTCCTTCATCCAGTCGCAACAGCTGGGAAAGTCCGTCAGTGACAGGGCGGCCGAGCAGTTCGATCCCACCGTCCCACCGCCAAATGTCAAAGGTCACGTCCCTAGCAGCTGATCCACGGATTAAACGTTTCGTTGTCATTATAATTATTATTTGTATTTATTATTCAAACATGTAATTATACCTTTCTGGTCTGTTATTGTTATGAATGAAGCATAAAGAACAAATTGAATTACTTCTTAAAAAACAAAATCACAAAAATGTTTTCGTTAGTTTTTTTTTTCGTTTTTCGTTTTTCAGTTCTACAGATGAATTATATATATGGGTGTTTATGTAGAAATGTTTGTTCATTAAACTGTGTGCGAATAACGATTACTCTTTAGGCGTGTGTTTATATATAAACAAGTGTGTGTGTGGTGTGTGTAGACGAATTAAATGAATAAATGAGGCGAGGCGAGGCCAGGATAATGTCATTCGTGGCCTCTATTTTGTTGGTTTCTATTTGAAGTTTCTGCAAGATGTTCGATTGTTTGATGTGTGCATGCATGGAATCATGTGCTGTCAATCATTTATTTCTTGCTTGCTTTCATTCTTGATTTCGTGGACACGAACACTATCGTTAGCCATTACAATTCGTTAATTATACCATTTTAGGTTTTTCAACTTATAATATAAAATGCTTAGCCTGAATTTACTTAAGCATTACACTCGATGCAATGAAATTATCTCAAAAGCGCCGTTTCCTCGATGTTCATCAATGTAAGGATTGGAAAAGTAGTTGGAGAAGGACAATGAGAGCTCCAAAGAAAACAACCAGAAAAATCAAAAGCAGGTTTAGCTTATGAGTGTTTAACGAGAATTAGGAAAAAGTGAGATCGAGAAGACGATCGTCGACCGGAACGCTTAAATTTGGTTGGCTATTTGATAAATACTTGGAAATAAGTTAGATTGAGATTTGTATATTAATACGCAAATTTTAAAAATTGTTCTACAATATATAAGTAGCTATTTCAAGAGAAGAAGACATGGAGAAAAGTTATGGGCACGTGCAATTAAACAAACGGCAGAGTTAAAAGCTTTAATTAATGATTAAATCATAGTGGATTCTTGTGTGATGTTTTCAGGAGCATACATGGATATCCTGGACGTTCATCAAAACCATCCATCTATCCTTCCATTCATTCATCCATTCATTCATTCATTCATTCACACATGCATTTATTAGAACTCTAATTATTTCCTCAATCTCCTAATAGGTCAATCAGGTACTCAAAGAATGAATTAATAATGTTGTAAATCTTTCATCCATGTATTTATTCACTTATGTAAATAATAAAGCAAGCAATCAACTAACTAACCAATTAACTAATCAATTAATCAACCAGCCAATCAACGAATCTATCAATCAACCAACCAGCCAATCAACGGATCAATCAACCAACGAATCAATCAACCAGCCAATCAACGAATCAATCAATCAACGAATCAATTCCACCACCTCGACGATGTGTTGAAACTGGTCGACTTTCCACTGCTGACATTCAAAATGCGGTCTTTTAAGGATATTGCCTCAATTGCTATGGCTCTGTTTCGTTTTCGTTGATAGTGTTTTGTTTGTTCTTTAATGTTGTTTGTTGTTGTTGGTTTTATGAGGTTGTTGTTTGTTTTTTGGTCGAAACAAAATATCTCACATACTAATTGCATGCAGTGTTCTGTGCTGACATTTTCGTTTACCAAAGAAACGACCGATTTTGTATGTCGTAATAATATCGAATGCAATTACTAGTTAACCGCAGAGCCTTATTTACCAATAGGCTAAAAAAAGCTGGAGCCTAGGGCAAATTTTGATGTTAAAGAACAAATGACATATAAATTATCTTGAATTAGAATCATGCCCATACAAGACGCCAAAAATTATTATACGATCATTTAGACTACGTCATTCTTGTGGTTGCGTACTTTTGTAATAGATGTATAGAATTAATTTTAACAATAGTTTGAAGTTATACGAGGCAGTTCAATCTATTATTATCAAATATCGTTTAATAAAAATGTTAAACAATAATTGATTCTTGATGAATAGTATAATGATAGGCACGTAGTTTTGGGTAGTCTGTCAGACGATCGAACGGTTCCTAATTTGAAATTGAAAGTTTACGATTGAGTGGATGGAAAAGTTATTTTACATTTTGTGTTAACATTCTGTCTGATTTTTGTTAAAATGAATTGAAAGAATTGTTAAAATTTTTTAAAAATTGTTAATTGATTGTTCAAAGCAAAAAGTTAGATAAACCTTATTATTTGGGTGTGTATCTTAAACGAAATTTGCCTTTTTATGATAGGCCAGAAAAGTCTGCTCCAGTTAACCACAGAGATAAATTTCAAACAGAAGTTTTCTTAATAGTGATTGATAGGTTGATTTCCGAACTGAAAAAACGACGATTGGCTTACGATTAAGTTTCAATTATCGCTTGGTCTGACTCTATGTGTCTTAAACTTAATCCTTCTAAGTTTGAATTAATTTGATTTAATAAATCTAAACACTCTATTACTATTCCTCCTATTATCTTACCTGATTCTAAAACTCTTGATGTCTCTCAAAAATTTCGTAGTCTAGGTTTTATCTTTGATTCTACTATGTCTCTTTCTTCTCAGATTAATAGTGTCGCTAGAAGCTCTTATTTTCATCTACGTAGAATAAAAAAACTTTTGCTTTTTCTTGATGATCCTACTCTTCTCCTTCTTGTTACTTCGTTAGTCTTATCTAGAATTGATTATTGTAACTCGCTCTAATATGGTCTTCCTGATTCTATACTCTATCCTTTAAGCTTTTAACTCTGCTGCTCGTCTAGTTGCTCGTGTCCCTTTCTTTTCTCATATATCTCCATATCTTGTTCTCTTGCACTGGCTACCTATAAAATATAGAATAATTTTTAAAATTTGCACGTTCATGTGTAAGTCTCAATCTAAATTATTTCTTAAGTATTTATCAGATATATTAATTGAACCTAAATGCCTCGGTTTACGATCGTCTTCTTGTTCCCGCTTTTTCTTAACTCGTGTTAAACACTCTTTTGCCAAATCTGCTTGTGCTTTTTCTGGCCCTTTTCTCTGGAACTTTTTACCTACTTCTCTGACTACTTATCCATCACTTACGAAGTTTCTGTTCATCAAACTCATCAAATTTTAAAAAATATTTATCAATTTTTTTAAAGATCTTATTCATTTTTAATTAATTTATTTCATTTATTTGTATAATAATATGCGTATTTAGTATCTTTTTTCTGGTGTATGTATAGCCGAGCTGATTTGAGATCGTCGTCTTTGACAGACATTCTTCTGGTAGTCGTTTTCACAAAGACCACAGTCTACTGAGCAAAGTCACAAAGTCTACTGAACCACTTCAAACCCTGCTAAGTTATGTCATGTTATTATGTTACCCTTCAGCACAATGTGCTTACTAATTTACCCCACCCCTTACAACTCTCTAAAATGCTTTATTTATGTAAATAAGAAAGCCATGGTTAATGTTTATATTGTGGAATATTTAAAAAATTAATAACAAAGTTATAATTGTTGATTGTGGTGTATAACGAACTTTCACCACACCACATTAAAATACACTGATGTCAAAATTTTCACACCAATTTTTTTGTTGAAAATTTTAAAACCATATGCCAACTACATTGAATGCAATATCCATGTATTTTAAACCAGCCTTTTATGCACCGCGTCCACAGACTACATAACCTTCACTTGATGACATTTTTTTGGTTATTTTAACAATCAAGCTTTCATCTAATATCCTTATTTTTCTTACATTTCATGATCTTATAGAGTGCTTTCCTATTATTACATTCCTTTTTCAAACTATTTCAACTTCCACCCTAACCTGAAAAGCCCCACTACCCCCCTAGACCATCAAATGGGGAACACAGATTTTAATTATGGTTTATAATACAGTACGGTAGATTAGTCTATATGGTAGTATAACAATTTCTATGATAGCATGATAGTTGGTGATAGCATGATACTTTATTATAATCTGCATGATACTTTATTATAATTTGCATGATACTTTGTTACATTTTGCATGATACTTTATCATAATTTGCATGATGCTTTATTATAATTTGCATGATACTTAGTTATATTTTGCTTGATATTTTATCATAATTTGCATACTTTATTATAATTTGCATGATACTTTGTTATATTTTGCTTGATATTTTATCATAATTTGCTTGATATTTTATCATAATTTGCATACTTTATTATAATTTGCATGATACTTTGTTATATTTTGCTTGATATTTTATCATAATTTGCTTGATATTTTATCATAATTTGCATACTTTATTATAATTTGCATGATACTTTGTTATATTTTGCTTGATATTTTATCATAATTTGCTTGATATTTCATCATAATTTGCATACTTTATTATAATTTGCATGATACTTTGTTATATTTTGCATGATATTTTATCATAATTTGCATGATACTATATTATAATTTGCATGATACTTTGTTATATTTTGCATGATACTTTATCATAATTTGCATGATACTTTATTATGTTTTTCATGATACTACAAACCTAAACTATCATCAACTTTGTTATATGATGATAGCTCAGGTCTATAGTAAATGATAGTGTGACAGTTTAATTCTGCTTCGAATGCCAGTGAACTAGGAAGTGAGGACTGGGTAACCACGAAAAATATGGAAGATATAGAAAAATATAGAAGAGCATGACTTTTAATTTTTTAAGTGACATTTTTTTGTAAAATAATATTTTGTAGCAAATTTAATTGAGTTATACAAATTAAGTTATGAAAATTAATTTATACAAAATGTAAACAAATTTAAAAAGTTGCTCTTCTAACAAAAAATTCAATTGACAGTATCAAAAGAACTATTTAAACAACGCTTCTTGTGATGAAATAACTACCTGTGATTGGTCGACGTGGAAATTGAGATGTGCTTCCGGTTGTCTGCCAGATGCCATTTACAACAGGCAATTAAAAAATTATGCAGTTGTGATGCGTTACGACAAGTTACTGTAAAAAGCAACAACGTGCTCTACAGTTTCAGTTGCAGCTTGAAAATTTTAAACAAATTTGCTGAAAGTTCATTTAAAATATAATAAATAAAAGATAAAGGATGGTGCACCTGACAACAATGTTCGCTGACGGTCTTCGCCATTGTTCCCTCTCCTCAGCAAGCATCCAACCATCTCTGGCCTTCGTCCTGCCTTCCTTCGTAAGTGCAATTTCAAGTTCTTTATTTATTGTTAACAAATTTTATTTAGTAATTATTTTCTTAACAACAGTCATTAATTTCGTTTTATTAAAAATTAAAATGGTAATAATTTTTTCAATCGATATAAAGAATTATGACGACCCAGAGTTGAGCAAACGTGTCAACTCCGATGCCACTTTACCGCTCCCAACACTGGCCAAGTTGAATCAGCTGATCAGGAAGAATGTCATCCGCATCTTGGAGGAGCCCGTCAAGAACGCTAAATTAGAAGCTAAAATGAAATCCTATATTTAAAATTTGTATAATTGAATTTTATTTATTCACGCGACGATTTAACCTTTAAATTAGAGACAAATTAATTTTGAAATACATTGAACAATTTTAAGAAAGTGTAATAAATCCGGTACAACGTCAACAAAAGGAATTCAACAATTTTAAAATATTTTTTTTTAAATGTGTGCTTCTGCTTGCACACGGGTGATCATGACTGCAAAACAAATAACTTCTGTTTCGACCCAAAATTTGTCAAAGAATGTCTGGCTTGCTTGTTATGCAGTAAAAGGAGTTATGTCAGCCAATTAGGTGGAATCCAACAAATTTCTAACTTCTCTCCACTTATTCATTACTTTCTGTTTTGAATCCTTCTTCGTTTTATGACACCGGTTAGCACAATTTTTAGTTAATTTACTTTTAAATTTAAGTTCAATAAAAGGGAAAACTTCAAGGACCTGAGAAACGATTAAACATTCTTTAATACCAGATTTTACGTGAACACTTCGGCACAATGCAGATGAAAAGAATAAAACTGACCAATTCGTTCATATTGATTCATAATATTTTTTTCAATAAAAAAAAAGTTCAGAAAAGAGGCTTTAGAGGAATCAACAACACTCACAAATATCGCACATAAATAGAACAATACATGCTAAACAGCTAATCACACACAAAGTATGTGATAGGAGGGGATCTTTTTGTTATATCGGAATCGAACCGGTGACTCCAGGCACTGCGAAACAGCACCAGGCCACTTTAACCACTAGGCTATCCCACCACCCCTATAAATGAAGATGATTTTACCAAATCTGCAGGTTTGGTAGGAAGGCCTTCCTAGGACTTGTCACAGAGCGGACAAACATTTTTAATTTTGTTACAAAATTTTGGGATGAATTTTGTTACAAATTTTTATTAAATAATCAATCGGCACAAACTTTTTTTTATATTGATATAAAAAATAAAGTCTGCAGATAAAAATGAATATTAATCGCTAGAAGTTGTCAGTTAGTAATAGAACAATATTAAACCGGATACTAAATAATCGTCATTCCAACTAACAAATTTTAGTGAAGTTTTTTCATAGTCACTATCTTAATGTTATCACGATTATTAATCATCATTTTGTTATTATCATCGTTATTGTCATCATCATCTTCATCGTAACATAATCGTCATCGTCATCATCGTCGTTATCATTGTCGTTATCGTCATCATCATTGTTACTAACATGATAACAAACACACCATCATTGATAAGTACTTGTTGATAATGGCGAAAGCAAAATAAATGTATTTATGCCAAGGGGAGGGCCTATTTACCAATATACAACACTTTATTATGGGTTGAAGCAGGGATATACAAAGAATCTCAATTTTTTCAACTTTCAGTTATTATCGGTAATGTCAATTTTAGATTGAATTATATATAAGAATGGCTTTATAGTGTTGATCTTCATCCCAAGGTCAGGAAGCATGGAAGCAAACTTTTTTAGCACCAATTTGTCAATGGGTTTTTCCGTTTTTCAATCTATATTTAGCTTCTTCCCTGTTGAATTTTGTGCTATCGGCGGCAAATTCTTGTAAACATTTTTAACCGCTGAAATCATTCTATGGCAGTTTTAATCGATTTTTAACTTAATAATTTAACTGAATTTTGATCCATTCTGATTTTATAAATGTCATTTTCTTTAAACTTTTACAAATGTTACATTGTGCCAGGAAAAACTAGACTCATACTAGTAGAAGAAGAGAGGCTTTTTTTGTATTTTTATTATGAATTTTTGACTTTTTATTTTTTAAACTGTCTAATAAATTATTGTTAAAAAAAACTCTAAAATTTCAATGTCGGTATGTTCGTTCGTGTACTTTAAAAAATCGACGTTTGTACTGGCATCGAAATTTTCTTGTTTTATCAACAACAAATAATTGGTTAATTAATTTGAACTAGATAACACATGGAATTATATGATTCAATGAGATAACAAGCCACATAAATCTTTTTATTTTATTATTATTAATTAATAAAAGAGTAATGTGGAATCATGGAATTATTTAATTCAATGTGTGGAATACCATATTGATGTTACTTTAAATTTTAATATAATCAATATATTTTTTCAATTATAATAAATATTGCTATTGAATCAAATAATTGTATAAATTTTTTTGGATATGCTACCTGAAAATTTCTGATCTTTGGAATGAATTGAGCAGACGATAAGCAGTAAGTTAGTTTTTGAATATAATTTCTATCTTTTATTAAATTAAAAATGCCATTAAAGTGTATAGTAAATAATTGTAATGGGACATATAAAGACCAAGATATATCTATGCACAGGTAATAATATGATCTTAATAATATTTTTACATCATTTGCATATTTTATGATTCACTTGACTTCTCCATGGATTAATAGATATAAATTTCAATAATTCATTTTTTGACAAAATGCAATATGCTTTACAGCATTCCTCAAAAATCACCTATAAAAAGTCAGTGGATCAATGCCTTGAATGGCAGGTGTAGAGGTTTTGAAAGAAAAAGATCATATATATGCAGTAAACATTTTGATTCAAAATCCTTTTCAAAGTCAAATAAAAAAGTTTTTCTAAAGAAAGATGCCTACCCAACAGTATTTCCTGGTGTGGTATTTGAAAAGGCAAAAACCACGACTACACAAACTGAGGTAATTAATTTAGTATTTATATATAATAAACAAAGGATTGCTGAAGCAATATTGATTAATTCAAACCAAATATTCATGTACAACACAATAACATTGGCATTTGCCGGCTTACTATCAGATATTTAACAAATAAAACGATAAGGATTTGGTCATTTTCTTATTACATTTTATGAAATGCAAATTTTGATTCAAATGGAAAATATGTTTTTTTTGTATTATGGGTTTATTATTATTATTAGTATGCTTTTGTTAAAATGGCTTTTCGTCATAAGAAATACAGATTATAAAGAGTTTCTTTATTTTATTGGGCATATATATATATATATATATATATATATATATATATATATATATATATATACAAAATACAGAATACAAGGAGTTTATTTTATTGGGCATATATATATATATATATATATATATATATATATATATATATATATAAACTTTTAAATGCAGCTATTTACTCTCAATTTAAAATCATATTTAGATGTTTTACTCAATGGATGCCCATCTCATCAAGCAACAGCAAAGGCAATCAAAGTATTACAAGTCCAGAATCACACTGCTGCAGGCAACAATAAGAAAACTTATGAATGAATGTAATAAATTAAAAAATGAATTAGCTACATACAAAGTTTTTATGCTATATAACCATAGCAAAATGAATTGAAATTTTGACTAATTTTTTGTTTATTTATCCTTCTAGATAAAAACTCATACCATTTAAAAGAGTTAACAAAGTATATGATGATAGTTAAAGACCTTTTATATGCAGCTGCATTTTCATGGTCCTCATGCATACCAATTTTTAAGAAAAAGTGGACTAACACTGCCACACCCGAGAACATTGAACAAGTAAAATTTTGTTGATCATGATTTTCTGTAAACTAGTATATATAAAGAAATGTATACTGATAGCCAAAATCAATCAATCTTAGTTTAGCGTCCAGAGACTCATTTCCCCTGAGGTAGGACGTTGTTTTCTTTGCCATCAAGTTTTTATGCCAATTAGGGGATCAGTTGTATTCATTTCATTTAAATTTGGAGCTTTCATGTCTTGTTCCATTGTTTCTGACCAGAAGAAGTTATAGCAATTTTCACTTCGTTTGACATGACCAAACCACTGCAGACGGTGTTGCCGGCATTCGTCCTATATATCATCTAAACCAGCACGACGCAGGATTTCGGTAGATTTGATGCGGTTAGGATGATTTGAATAGTCATTGTATGCTTTTCTAGATGAAGCTTGATCCACATGAGACGTGAGTTAATCCTTTTAACATCCAGTACTTCTTGACAAAAATTCCAGCACCATTTTTGGCCGTCTTTTGATCATTCCAGAATAGTTTAGCCAAAATAATGATTTTATTATGATTAATCACGTTTGTTTTTTAAATCAGCACAAACCAGCACGAACTTTTTTGCTTATCAAAACCTAAAACTTATTCTTATTTAACATGCACTTCATCTCTGGACCAGTCAAAAAAATAGCTGGGCAAAAAATTTTTACCTGGATAATTTCATATTAAAATAAATAATTTATTTTTTAAATTATAGATAGACAGAACCAATCAAAATAAAACCGGGTTTTACAAATATTATAATTGATGTAATAAAAAAAAAATGTGAAGAAAATCCATCAAAATATTGCAAATGCTCTTTAATCCTTGATTCGATGTCAATAAAGCCTCAAATAATATATAATAGGAAAATTGGTAGGTTTTTTAAAATAAATTTTGTTTTTAAATTTGTGAGGTTAAAATATAGCATATTTTGGTAGCATATGCTAGTTTATTCCTTGTGTATTTTATTTATTTCTTGATTTTTTTTGTTTCCCATTTCACTATAAGCATTTGTCTTCAATTTTTTTAATTTTATTGATGTTAAATGTTAAGCATAAATTATCAAATGCATTGTTTATTTGTAAAGATGACTTTATTGGATATGTTAACTATGGAGATGGGAATGAGGACATAGTTGCTTCAGAGGTGTTGGTTTTTTATGTTGTTGGTCTGAGAGAAGCTTGGAGGCATTCAATAGCTTATTTTTATACAAATAAGTTATTATCTCACAAGTTGAAAGATTTAATAGAGAAAGCCATTGATAAGTTACATAATGCTGGAGTTAGGGTAAGCAACATTTGTTTTTCTTAAAAATATGTTAAAATTTTTATACATTATATTTATTTTTTAAGGTTGTCTCATTGATAATGGATGGGTTGGCCACTAATGTTTTGGCATGTGGATTGCTTGGATGCTCTTTCACACTTCCAAACATGCAAACATGTTTCTTGTCCCCAACAACCGGCCATAAAATATATATCATATTTGATGCATGCCACATGCTGAAATTAATGAGGAATATGTTTCATTCTTATAATATAATATTTTATAAAAATAATCCAATCAAATGGAATCATATCGTAAACTTAGTTAATTATCAACAACAAATCAAAATGAAATTAGGAAATAAATTAACCAAAAATCATGTAAATTTTGAAAAGCATAAGATGAAAGTTAAACATGCATCTCAAGTCTTTAGTTGCTCTGTGGCTAAATCATTGGAACTCTTAAACGGATTTGATGATTTTTCTGACGTTTCTGAAACAATAGCTTTTGTGGAAAACATCAACGATCTTTTCGATATACTGAACAGCAAACTGATGCTAGATAGAGAATGGAAGCAATCCATTACAAAGAGCAACCTGACAGCCACTATAGATAAACTTTATGAAATGAAAGCCTATTTACTAAGTTTGAAAAATTTAGATGGTGTTAACATTTACAAAACTCAAAGGTTCTTTTTTTTATATATTTCAATATATTAACTAAAACTAGTTACAAATAATTTCAGAAAAATGTGCATAATGGGCTTTTGTACAACCATAAATTCAATAATTGATATTTCGAAAGAGTTGTTGAATGAACAACCTTTCGTCCTGACTTACCGTTTCAGTCAGGATGCACTGGAACTTTATTTCAACTATGTAAGAAGATCAGGTGTTAAGTTTTTCTGACTTGAGTCATAATAAAGAAATAACATAAAAAATTAATTAATTAATAAATTAATAATTAATTAATACAGGTGGATGCTGCAGTCGCATAAATTGCCAACAATTCAGCGACATTTATAAAAAGATTTGCTGCAAATTTCTAACAGTTATACCAAGTAATTTTGACACGAAAATTATAAACTGAATAGATTTAAAGCTACTCTGCAATTCACAGGTAACACAGGAAATGTGTCATCATTTGAAACAGAAGAACTGCTTAGTAACATTTTTTTTGGGGCAGATTTTGATGACAACGTATTTGTGGAGCATGCGTCGCTGCAGTATATTATCAGCAGTTGCACTGCAACATGGCAGGATGGGTGGTGAAGTCAATAACACCGACCATCTCATGTGCAGAATGCAGGTTTTTTTTACTTCTAATGTAAACCTCTCCAAAATTCATTCAAAATTTTGCATTAATATGCTGTTACAAATCCCAACAAATATGCAGAAAATGCTTGATTTCAGCCAGCAGAAACATATTTAGCGAATCATCAAATCATCTCATCATACAATGGGCAATTGACATATCCCTCAAAAGGAGTATTAAAAGTAAAATGATACATTTATTTATTTTCTGGTAAAAGCAATAAATTTTAAGGATTTTCAGATCTGCCAAGAATCAGAAAGATTATTAAAAATAAATAATTATTGTTTTAAGAAAAAACTTGTAATTGAAAGCAACATACTCCTACAATGTGTCAACGAAGATTTATTTAACATGGAAAATCATTTCAATGATGTACAGAACGCAAACCACTATTATGAATTAATAAAAAAAATAATATCATATACAACATTAAGACTTTTTAACTTAACTAAAGAGTTTTCTATCAACATGCAGTTGTAATAAAAGTAAATTAAATAATAAACTGCAGCAAAAATTATACAATTTAAATTTATTAAATCAATTGTTTTATTGAATTTGTACAGTGCTTCTAATAGACTACATCAGAAGCAAATTCTACAACCTTTGTTTTTATCTTTTATGTATATATATATATATATATATATATATATATATATATATATGTGTGTGTGTGTGTGTGTGTGTGTGTGTGTGTGTTTCACTTTTTAAAATAGTTGAAAGATAAATTTATAATTATGTAAATCAAACATTTTGCAGTTATACAACAAATAAACAAAACCAAAATCCAGAAATAAAAAAGGTAAGACTGATCTAACTTTACTCATCACTAATTATAGCAAGACAGACGTTTTATAATCAACAAACAAGAAATATAACAATTTACACATAAATATAATAATATACATTCTCATGATCTAGCACCTTCAGGGTTATTTTATAAATAGTAATGTTAAACTAAAAATTATTAAATATACCTATTCTATTAAAAATCAACAGTTGATCGTTTTAAATTAATAGCATAATGAATTTGATGTTAACTTAAAGAAACTATTATTATTTATTTATTATATTAATAATGTCAATTACAGTTGAAATAGTTAAAGAATTTGATTTTAACTTGAATTATTATATAATTTATTTAATGTATATAAATATAATATTATAAAATAAATTATAATATATAATAAAATATAATATATTAATAAATAATATAAAATTATAAATCAACATTTAAACAGAAAAAAATTATAATAATTATAAATTATAATATATAATAAAATATAATATATTAATAAATAATATAAAAGTATAAATCATAACATTGAAACAGAAAAAAAATTGTTTGCTTTTACTACCAAAATAAATTTTAAAAACTTCCTCTGTGATTAAATTTGGTTTGGATATGTGATGTTGAAAGTAATTATTCCTTTGAATTGTAAGCTTTGGAGTGTTGAAAGATTCTAGTTTAGGACATATGCACAGGAATTACATCTTTATTTAAAAATTATTAGTTGATTAATTTATTTATAATATTATAAATTGATTATGAGTTATATTTTTAAATATTAATAACATTTCATTTTTAGTTTTTACAATAAAATTTTTACTGACTTTTTTTCGTTTTCTAGATTCTAATTTAATTTAGGAATGATTCTTACTCTAATGAAATGATATGAAGTAAATGAAGTCCATCATCATCGTGATTCGTGGGTGCTGGGAGAATGAATGAAGAAACCTTTATTTCAGAAAAATGAGGATCGCTAACGAACTTATTATAAATCTTCGACGATTAAATACGGTGGTTATTAAAACCTTATAAATTAACCTAAAACTTCACGGAATGTTGAAAACGAAATAAACAAACGAGCTGAATGCAGATCGGCAGAGTCATTAACATAACTTCGGGAAGGCCCAAAATTTTTCTAATTATATCTCAGATTTTTCTAAAAATAAGCCAAAATGCTCATGAATAATTAATTTTTTAGGAACTTGCTTCCCGAGGTAACTTGCCCGTTGAAAAAAATTTTCAATGTTAAAACGCTGGTAGGGCGCTTCCAGTTATATAATTCCATGCAATTTTATTTTTTTAAATTTTTACCAAATAAGAGTAATTGAATAACAATTTAAAAAAAACTAATATTTTAACATTTTAAATAAAAGCAATATTCCGAAATTAGTAAATAGACGATCGTAACTTTTGACTCGAACGATAAAAAATCACCCTCCGGAAGTAAGCTCTTTGTTCGACCGTTAAAAGTGAGCGAAGGCCGTTATATTTATTCTAGTTATGTGATTTGTGCTTAATAAATGCAATTGGATTTTATTTTATTGACGCTGTTGGATGTTGAGCTTGATGTTGATGTTGTTGATGTTGTTATTTTGTTAATGTTGTTGTTGATGCGTTTGTTTTATTTATTATTATTATTTTTTAAGTTTATTAACATAATTTTTAATTTCGCTTCTATAAGAATTGTTGTTTAACAAAGCTTGTTGACGATGATGTCATTGTTGCTGATGTAACAGTTGATGTGGCTGCTGTTGTCATTGTTGTTGTTGAAGCCGGTGATGATGCGGCCAAAATATCAGCATCATTACTTAAAAACACTAGAAACTCGTGGAACTGTAAAAATTATTAATAACATTAATAACGTTGATAACATCAGTAATATCAATAACCCCAATAACAACAACATTACAATTTTTAAAGGTAAACATAACAAAAACAACAGAGACAAATTTAATATTATGACATCAGCATCCGTTACATCAACACCGTCAACGTCATCACAAGAACAAGACAAACAACAACAACAACATCCATAATGTTATTTTGTCATGATTCATTTCAACAACAACATTCTGTCAACAGCAACACAAACAACAACATCAACAGCTCAAGCAACACAAACATTAACGACACACTTGACGACAACATCAACAACACATACATCAATAACATCAACAAATAAACGACGTTAACCTGTGGATCATCAACAATTTCTCCAAGTTCTGCATATTCAATCGAAGAAGAATTATTGCTGATGTTGCTGTTATCGTTGTTGATGATGCTAATGTTGTTGTTGTTGTTGATGTTAATGTTTTTGTCGTTGTTGTTTCTAATTATGTTGAAGTTTTTTGAAAAGTCCATCTCATCAAAGTGGATTAAATTTTCTAAAATATTTGGATCAATATTGTTGTTGTCGCTCACGTCCATATTATTGCTGTTGCTGTTAATTTTGTTGTTGTTGTTGATGTTGTTGTTGATGTTGTTGATGTTGTTGTTGATGTTGTTAATGCTGTTTCTTTTGATACTGTTAACGTCATTGTTTATGTTGAGATTTGAAACAGAAATGTTATTGTTTAAATCCGGATAGTTGAAGTTGTTTACAAATTGATCTGTAATGTTGTTGTTTAAAAGGCTGCTGTCCACATTATTGTCGTTGTTACTGTCATCTTTATTAATGTGATTGTTGATTTCAGGTCTATTGTTGTTGCTGATGGTTCTGAAAATGGAATGTCTCTCATTGCAGAAATCATCAAACATGTCCATACAGTTATTTATGTTGTTGTTGTTGATGCTGCTGAAGTTGTTGTTGCTGTTGCTGCTGTTATCTCTGTTGCATATGTTGTCGTTAAAGATATTGCTGTTGTTGATGTTGATATTGTCGTAAATAATGTTGTTGTTGATGTTGTTGTTAATGTTGATGTCATTGATGTTGTTGATGTTACCGTTGTAAAAAACGTTGAAATTGTTTTTATTAGTGTTGCTGTTACGAACGTGATCGAGGCTGTTGATGTTGACACTGATGTTGGAGCAGTTAATGTTGCTGTTGATATTATTGTTGGAGCAGTTAATGTTGTTGTCATCAACAAAGTTGAAACCCTCACTGACGCTGTTGAAGCTATCCAGCCTCATGAAATTGAGACGCATCAAGTTGGCCTGCTGGTTGTCTGCGATGTTACCACTGCTACTACAAAATGACCGCTCAGTGCATGCAGGACTGCTGCTGCAGTCCGGAGAACAGATTGAACTTGATGAAGCCTGGCCAAAATTGAGCGACATCGAAGCTAATGAGTTGTTGTTGGAGTCAGTGTTGTTGTTGTGGCTGTTGTTACGGTCCATGCTTTCGTTTTTTATGATGTTTTTGTGGTTGTTATTGTTGCAGCTTTTGTTGGCAGTCTTGTTGCTCTTTCTTTCGAAGTTTGTGAAAAATTTTATGATTTCACCATTAATTAGGTTTGATGAAAAAAAGATTCACAATAATTAAAAAAACATATTAAAAATTAATGTTATAAAACTTTATAACGAAACTAGCAAAATATTTTTTGCACCAATAACACAAATAATAAAATCAACAACTAGAGACATTAAACATTACAAAGAGAATGAATGGAGATGAAAGAAAAACTAAACACGAACGTGAAGAGCATGATTTCAATGTATGGGTTGGCCCTCACGTACATCTCTGGTTGCTGCTGCTGTTGGTCTTGTGCTGCTTTTTTGAAATTATTCTATTAACAATTTTGCAACCACACTGCCAAAAAATTTATGCGTCAAAAAACACACCAAATTTTTAAAAAATCTTTCACCAGACGATCAATGCAATACATCTAACACAATCTAAAAAAAAGTACTTTTTCCAATTTTTCAAACTAATAAAAATTAAACAAAGAAAGTAATCGTTATTTTTTTAATAAGCATAAATTTTAAAGATAGGAATCAAACCGAACTCAAACGGAACGAGCTCCGAACCTCGTTTACGACAAAACCAGGGTACGAAGCAAACGGAGCGAACGAACCTTACCTTTACCGAATAGAGTTAAATTTGCAGAGTTGCAAATTTCAAAATGTGCACATTTCTACAAAAATTTGCACATTACTAAAAAATTTGCACACCTCTACAAAAATCTGCACATCGCTAACCGCACTAACTAATAAATGCTGAATTTAAATTCGCGTTAAACAATTGTGAAACACGTTTTTATTCATGGTCAAACTCGTGAGCCGAGCCGAACAGAACGCAAACTCTGTTAGAAAGGGTTCCTTTCCCATCTCTTATAAATGTTTGCTTGTTATTTTACATCAGAGGCTTATGCATTGTATTTATTATAAATTTTTTTTATATTGTCTACAAACTAAATTTCTAATTAACATTTCAAATGTTATAAATAACCGGTCTCAAACATCTAAAATCACAACTACATCGCTGCTTCGATGACCACCACCGCTACAACTACCATCACAACCAACAACAACAACAACATTGCTAAAGATAATAAAATAAACCAACAGAATAACTCAAGTTCTGTACTTATGTTCAATGAAGCCAAGATATCTTCCAATGGTGCATAGGTGCTAGGGTATATGTACCTGGATCATTTAAAAAATTTACCTATCGAACTAGTTTTAATTGTTAATTATAACAAATGTTAACCTACTTTGATTAAAAAACAAATATCTTGTACGAATAACGAAATTTGGTTGTAACTGAGCCACTACCATACATAAAGTTGTAAAACAAAAAACCAAAAATACTTTCCGGACAAAAACCTCAGTGGGTTGTGTCAGAGAAGTTTTTGCCTTGGAGGGTTTTTATCTTGTCACCAAGCATCACTATGTACAATACGTGCATAAAACAAATGTATATATTCATTTATTTAGATGCATGATCTAGACGCAAGACAGGGACCACCTCAGCAAAGTCCTCTTCTTATCAGGATCTGATGGATCAGCAACCTTGAACATCTTCAGAACATCTGACAGTCGTCTGTTCAATGCCTTTTGTGACTCCAAGTAACTTGCCTGAAGGTACTTCTTTAGGTGAAATATCTTCTTTTTGTCTGGCAGTCATTTATATGAGAAACATAAATATTACCATCATAAAAAATATTGGAAAAGATAGGCAATTAAACCAGAAATAGGAATCCAGTCAATCCAAGTAAAATTGCCAAAAAGAGCTTACCCGATGGTGACTGAGATGGAACATGAGGGCAGTAAAAATTCTAAAATGCGTATTAACAAACACAAAAATGATGATGTCGGAAGAAAGTAAAATCGGTGCAGAATTTCAAATAGAATCGGAAAAACTAGAACAAGTAAACTAGTACAATTAAATAAAGAACAGAATGTTTCCATCGGTGAAAGAAAGGAAAGTGGTAATATATATCTAAATAAATAGGAAGAGAATGGAAATTTTATGTGTTATCTACGCAGCTGAATGCATGCGAAACTTAAACAATAAAGAATAGAGATTGAATAATTGGGTGTGTAAGTTAATAAAATTGACAAAACATAGAAAACAAGTTTTGATATTTAAAGAAATGTGGAAGTTATCGTTTTAAATTGGTCCTTTTGAAGATTAAAAATAATTGATTGATTGATTGATTATTGGATTGATTGATGGATGATCAACAACAACGTAGCTCACATTGTTGTTATTACCACCATCTTCATCAATTCCTCATCATCTTCATCAACACCATCATCATCTTCATTGCCACCACTACAAACTGTCAGCAGGGTCGACTTCAACGAGGACCATGGCCAGATCCCCGCAGACGCCAGACTTCTGACTGTTCTCCATGGACGACTCGCTGAACCTCAGCAGAAATGTTCCTGGCTTCTCTTTTAGTAATTTCTTTTCGCTCTCCTCCCGCGATATGAAACCGCACACCAAACTAATTTCCAATTTGAGATTTTTAATAAAAATTTCAAATATAAAACTATTGTGAAATCATCTATAAGTAACCCGGCTTTTCAAAATTCCCACCAATGATATGCAAGAGAGTGTGATTTATTTTGCTTGTGAGAGATTTTTAAATTTTAATACAGCAAGCGATTAGTTGAAAAGCGGAACTGAAATTAATAAAAATGGCACTGCATATATGAAGTGGAATAATTAATAGAATACTTCATCACATCATCATTTAGTCATTATAGTCATATTACCATCGTCGTTAGTACATCATCACATAGCACCAAACCAACCCTTTCTGCCACTCTGGTTTGATGTGTTCGTGGATGAGGTGGAGGCATGCAACGAACCACTTCCAGAAACTGAAGTCTCTGCCCGCCAATTTATCCTGTTTTTGCATCAAAACTTTACTTAAGTGTAAGCACGTAACGGGATGAATTTTTTAATTTTCATTCTACTGATATGCAGTGTTAATTAAAGAAGAACGTAGAATGTGTCAAAAAATCTGATCAAATTAAAAAAATGTTTGCCAGGCGAATAAAAAATTAATCTGGAATTTATAAATTTAATATGATAGCCAATAATTTTTCATTTTGTAAACCACGCAACTGTTTGAATGTTAAAAAATATTTAAATGCTGAGGTTTTCAAAAATGGAACTGAAAAAAAAAATTTCCGACATTTTCCTGATAAATGCACCGCACCTGTGCTTGCATGCTACCACTTTTTATTTTAACAATCTGCTTGGAGCTGTGTGACTGGAAACATTTTATTTACTTTTCACTTATTTGCAATTAAAATAATAAAGATGAAATATACAACCCGTATTTTTTGAACAAACGTATCTGTCAGATTACAAATTTATATAAACGCATAATTTCGTAGCTAACATTGCAGACATATGGATACATCCATACACACGCACAACAAATTTGATAAGTGTTAATTTGTATGTACATCGAATTTAATTTAAATAATATAAGTTAGACTTGCCTTCATTATTTGTTTTTCAGAAACAGGATAATCGCTGAAGTCGCTGACATTCTCATCTCCTATTAAGAATTTTTATTCATTCGCTTATTCATTCATTTATTTAATCAAAGCAATACATATCAACACACGTACAACAATACAAATACAACATTACAGAACAACACAAGTACAACATTACAGAACAACACACATTTAATGGTACACAACAACACACATACAACAGTAGACAGCAACACATAACAATATATAACCGCGCATACCACAATATACAACAGTCCATACAATAATATACACAACACATACAACCAAGGCCGTAGCCAGGATTATTTTTCGGGAGGGGGGCTGTCGAAATACCTTTTTTTATAATTAAAATCAAGGAAAAAACAACAAATCCAATCAAATCAGCTTTTATTTACAAAATATAAAACCCCAAAAAATTATATAAACAAAAGTAAATTGTATATATAAATTTAAACAACGTGCTTTTTGGTTTAAATGGTCAAAAATCATGTCGTTGTCCACTTGGATAGACATATCCCGATGGATATATACATGTATATGTATGCTAATGAAGTGAGTCGCTCCTCATTAGAGCTATTTCTCAAATAATTTTTAATTCTTAAAATTTAATTGTTGAAAAACTTATTTTAACTGTTGACGTTGATACTGGTAGAACTGCCATAATTGATAACAAAGCCTGAATATTTAGAAATAGGCTGGAATTGCATTCTGCCAATGCCTCAATGGCTGTTTTTGACCTACTTTTTATTCTCATTTTCTATTTTTGTGTCCATAAGGACCATTCACCTTTTAATATGTTTTCAGAAGGTTCTGGGAATTCATTTTCATTCATTGAGACATTCTTCATAATTATAGAGCACATCACACTTTTCAGGTAAAATAAAATGTAAAGAAGTAATCAAAGTGTCGTGTTGAAGAAATCTATCTTTCAGTGAAGCCACTAAATCGTCCAAGAAAAAATTGAAAATGGATATTCGAAAATAATTTTCCGGATCCTGAAAAATCACATTACATCCATTTTTACTAAATTTTCTGGTTCTTGGAATAACCATTTCTACATTTAATTCATCACACAGTTTTTTGGCTTGAGTATATATAGTTTTGAATTCTTCATCTCCATTTTCTCTACAGTTAAGAAATACTTGAGTTACATCCTTTACCGCCTGCATTGCAGTTACTATATCCAGATTCACAGTCTGCAATAACTTCGACAAATTGTAGGTAAGTTCAAAAAATTTACTTAAAACATAAACAGTTATAATAAAATTACATTTACCTATTGTATTTAGCAATAAATTAACCTTTTGAGATTGATCATTAAATGTCTCATTAATATTTTTCTAAAGAGGCCACAATAGGTACAAAAATTTCTTTAAAAAGGATCACAGCTTCTTGTCTCTAACACCATCTATTTTCACATATTTGTTTGATTCGTTTGTTTTTTATTGAAGGATCTAATTCTTTTATTTTATCTTCCAATATTTTTGGGCTTAACCAAAAAACATTGCACACTTTTGCAATAATTCCCATAACGTTCCGAATTTCTTGAATTTTAGAAGAATCAGTTAGGCAAAGGTTTAAACAGTGAGATAAACAACGTGTGTAAAAAGCATTCGGAAATTGTTTTCTTATAACGGATTGAACTCCTCAAAATTCACCCCTCGTGGTAGATGCTCCATCATATCCATGTCCTCTTAAATGTTCCATTTGAAGACTAAATTCATCATGCTTATCAACAATTACCGTTGCTTGCATGGTTATATTTGTAGGAATTAAAATAAACGTTCATGCAATTATATTTTCACGTATTTTAACATGTAATTTGACAAATAGGCATTAAAATAAACTTCCATGCATTTTCTGCAAGTATTTTACCTTGCAATCTAACGGATAGGCATTAAAATAATCACATAATTAAGGATTGTTACAAAAAATTATAAATGTAAATTATTGATTGTTACAAAAAATTATCAATGTAAATTATTGATTGTTACAAAAAATTATCAATGTAAATTATTGATTGTTACAAAAAATTATCAATGTAAATTATTGATTGTTACAAAATTATCAATGTAAATTATTATGCAAGGCCGTAGCTGCAGCCCCCCCCCAGCTAAGGCCTTGCATACGACAGTATACCCAACACATGCAACAATATACACAACACATACAACAATATTCACAACACATACAACAATATTCACAACAGATACAAAATATACAACAATATACAACGGCACATACAACACTATACCCAAAACAAACAACAGCACATACAACAATATACACAACATATACAACAGTGACAAACCATTCTGGCAAATCAAACCAAACAATTGAGAGGATATTAAACCAGCACGAACCACACAAAGCGAATGTTATGTTTCTTAAACGTAGATATGTACCTTAAGCCATGCAACCAGAGGAACAAAAGGAACAAATATTAGACTGGAACAACATGCAAAAAAGAAACCGCACCTGTCACCGCAATAAAACTTTATAAAAATCAAGACCACTAAATTTGAGACAATGTTAACGTCATATTATATTTTTATATTGTTCTGTGTTGTATTACTCATCAATCAATAACACGCCACAACAAAAGGCAGTGTGCATTATGAACATACAACAAACATCAACAAACATGTGTCGGGATTCGACTCCAATATCCACCAAAATCTTTCGTTTGAAAAGGATTAACACGTGTAACCGGGGCCAATTTAACGTATCTTATAAAGGAAAAACAAATTCGTCATCAAATATTAACACAAAATATAATAATTTCATTTTGTCTCAATGTTATATCATAAAAAAAGGTCACGGTCCAATAACGAAGTAAACAAGAACAGGCTTCTTCATGGGAAAACTAGACTGGAGGAAACTTTAGATTCTAAACTCACTACTGAAGAAAATTTTGAATTAACTCTTCACTGAAGGAAACCTTGAATTAACTCTTCACTGAAGGAAACCTTGAATTAACTCTTTACTAAACTGATGGAAACTTTAAATTAAACTCTACTCGACATTTACTTAAAAACAATTAATTCAACCTCACCCCGTACTACTTCTCGAACTACTCTTGCAAATCTGAAGTTAGCAACGTTTTCATCCTTGACCTTCTCATTCATGCTGCAGCGCCTGACTATCGAACCCCGACAACATACGACAGCAATATGCAACTAAATCTACAAAATAGTATACAACAACATCAACAGCAACATACAACAAATAAATGCAAAACATCATGCAACAAGACGCGAACAACAACAAAAACAACCAACTGAAAATGATCTGCGCCAGTCTATGCTGTTGTTTTGTCTTTAATTTGACGCCAGTTGATAAATTGCAAATTTTGCTGATGATGTCTGCCACTTCCTTCCAACGAACTTGCTCACGGTATTCATATTGTTGCCTGTTCTGTTGAGGTTCATGTCGGTGCGAAAAGTGTAAGATTTCGATTTTAATTATCCTTATTACTAGGATGCGTCATGCATCTATTTATTTTATATACATGCATCTATTCATGTATCTGTTTGTGTATCTGTTCATACCTATATTTGATCATATATCTATATTTTATTTTTGTGTTTTCTCAATCATCAACAACGTATTAATCTTTTTTAAACAACTTAAAAAAGCATGAAGTTTCTAGCAATTAGGAAAACAAACAACAACAAGCAATGGAACAAATTAGACAAGTTAGGAGTGAAAGGACTTTAGTTGTTATTGCACGCTGTCGGCACGATTTGAACACTGCATTGGCAAGACCTCAAAGGCGATCGTGCATCTTGTGCGTATGACGCGGTGCTTGTGCGTACATGCTAATATGCAAATACTTCGTGTTTTTGGTTTGTAAAACAGCAGCAGCAACAACAACAGAAACAAATAGCAAACAAAAAAAACAAAAATGCCAACAACCAACATTAATTGAGAAGGCAGCATTCCAGGTGAGCGTACCACGGGCCATCATCTCCTGAGACGTCTGACTGATGAGGATTATCGGCAGTGACACAATCTGGATAGGTGGCAATATATGCCATGTGGGTGAGTGAATAATATCTCAAAACTTAAAATTATATATAATATAGGAGTGCAAGGACTTCAGTTGTTATTGCACGCTGTCGGCACAATTCGAACACTGTTTTTAAATTTTTTCAAAATATATAAACTAAACTATTGTCGGTCTCTTTACAATGAACTTGCTTTGTTTAAATATACCGGTCGTAACTATTTACGTTTTACTCCTGATTTTCGCTTTCTAAAACCTAGGTCAAACTTTTTTCTCAATTCAACTTTATCTTCGTCAATGCGCCTCTGGGATACTTTACCTATTAATGTTAAAAACTCTTCGTCTCTTGGTATTTTTAAATCTTCACTTAATCAACTCATTTTTAAAAATCATTTCACGCTTGGCTGAGCTATTTGCTTTCCACTGTTGAATATTTTGTGTTCAATTAACTTAAAATCAAGTTGCACAATTTTAGTTAAGGTGATCAGCACCTATCATATATATATATATATATATATATATATATATATATATATATATATATATATATATATATATGTTGGTAATAGACCATAAATTTTAAAATATTCTATAAATTCTACCGAATGTTTGGCGTTAATATGTTTGTAGTTCGTTTTTTCGATTTCTCTCACTAAAGTTTTTGGTGAACGTTTAGTTTATTAAAATTCAAAATAAACTTATTTTTCGAATTCATGCTGCAAATAAGGCCATATTTCGATTCCGAATGAATCATCATCAGTGCTCCTTGCTGTATATATAGGGAAATATTGACTTTGTCAAGATGAACTTTGACGTTGTAAAAATTAACTTTGGTGTTGTAAAATTGAACTTTAATGCGAATTAGGTGTCAGGTTTCTTTATTGGCTGATCATCTTCTTTGGTCTCCTTTTCTTCATCGATAGCATCATATTCTTCTTTGTCACTATTTACGATGCTAGTTTTTATTACTTCTTTCTTTTCGTTGTTGGTTAAACGCCGGGTTGGAAGTGAGGTTGTCATTTTTTGCTGTATATTTATTTTTGGTTTATTGATGTCAATTAGGACTGCTTCTGCAATTTTAAGATGCGTGTAATTGCTGTTCTGGTATATTACTTTGGTGTTGCTGTCGAGGATTTTACGGCTAATTGTGATAGAGTGTGTTGAGTACAAATGAGATTTGATAGCACCACTCTGTTTATGCATCGTAAGCCTTCTAGTCAGTGAGGTAGTAGTAATCCCGATATATGAGTCATGTTGACGTGCACAGCCGTCAAAGGGGCAATTAAATTCATATATTACAAGATTACTGTAAAAGCGTGAAAAAAGAAAATTAAAAAAAAAACAGATTTCTCACTATATTTTCAAAGATTCTTCCTGAAATGCTGACCACTCTGGCGTAGAAAACCAGCCCAAATTTTTGATCGGTGACCAGAACGTCAGCTTTCAAAATTTTTGGTCGCCTCACGTTCACCAGGTGAATGTTGTTGAAATGGGCGGAGCAAGAATTTGATGAGCGACCAATCACGAAGCACTGAAAATGTTTGAATCAACTTTGCATTTCCAAGTTTTAAAACTTTTTAAAGATGGATAAGTTAAAAAAAAATAAAAGCAACTCAACAAAAAATTAAAAACGGACAAAATGAAAAAAAAACATATAATAACAAAATTATGTTTAATACTAAACTGCACCAACATTTCAACATATTCAGCAGCGTGTCATCAACATTATTATTAACAACAATAATAATAACAACTAAAATATAATAATCAACAAAAATAATAATAATGATAATAATTTTGTTATAGTAATTTTTAAAACATCAAAAAATAGCCAAAAATTAAAAAAAAACCTTTTCTTTCCCATTCATAATGTCAACATCTCCTCTTGCGTAGGTGGCCGATTGTGGGATGTTTTCTGCAGCATACATGGATATCCTGGATGTTCATCAAAACTATCCATCCGTCCTCTTTTTCATTCATTCATTCATTCATTCATTCATTCATTCATTCATTCATTCATTCATTCATTCATTCATTCATTCATTCATTCATTCATTCATTCATTCATTCATTTATTCACTCACTCACTCACTCACTCACTCACTCACTCACTCACTCACTCACTCATTCGCTCATTCATTCATTCACTCACGCATGCATTTATTAGATCATAATTCCATAATAATTATATTCCCTGAATCTCCTAATAAGTTATTCAGGTACTCAAAGAATGAAATAATAATGTTGTAAATCTTTCATCTACTTATTTAATTCATCTGTTTAAATAATTAAACAATCAATCAAACAACTAACCAATTAATTAATTATTCAATCAATTAATCAATCAATCAATCAGTTAGTCAGTCAGTCAGTAGTCAGTCAGTCAGTCAGTCAGTCAGTCAGTCAGTCAGTCAGTCAGTCAGTCAGTCAGTCAGTCAGTCAGTCAGTCAGTCAGTCAGTCAGTCAGTCAGTCAGTCAGTCAGTCAGTCAGTCAGTCAGTCAGTCAGTCAGTCAGTCAGTCAGTCAGTCAGTCAGTCAGTCAGTCAGTCAGTCAGTCAGTCAGTCAGTCAGTCAGTCAGTCAATCAATCAATCAATCAATCAATCAGCCTATCAAACGACCTGACATTAGAATTCGCCAGATCAAGACCCAATGATGCACCTCCCAAAAATCTGAAAATAATTTTGTTGATGTAAAAAAAATCAACGTTTTTATTATTTTTGTTTGAGATAAAAACTTTTTTCAGTTGATATCATTTTGAACTTTGTTTACAGAAATATTTACATTAATTTTCTATCAGAAAAACATTTTCAATAAGATATTTTTATTAATAATAATAAGCTGACAAAATTTATAACTTGTTAATCTTTAAAAATTACAATATCGCAGCTTTCATTTGAAACGAGTTCTCAACAGAAAACTTATGTAGAAAACTATTATTTATATCCTTATTTGAAACTAGAAGACTAAACCCAGCACACCACGAAACGGCGTCATCCTATACAGCCAGCCATTCACCCACCTCAGCGATGTGTTGAAACTGACTGACTTTCCACCGCTGACCTTCAAAATGCGGTCTTTCAAGGACATTGGCTCAATTACCAGGGCTCTGTTTTGTTAGCAACGTTTATTTGTTGTTTTATGTGACTGTTGTTCAAACGTGATATGGACGAAAATGTAACATTGATTTTAAGCAGCATTATCAGCTTCGTATTTTTATTAAAGTTATCATGACGATGAAGACAGATGTCATCAATAATAATCGTAAATATTCCATCACAAAAAATATTACAGGCACTTTTTTCAATGCAAAATGGCGAACCTCGCAATGAACTTTGGGTAGTAACCCTCCTTCAGTTTATTCATTAACTCTGGGATAATGTTACTTTCCAGAGATGATGATGTTGACGATGGTGGTAACATGACGTTTGTGTGAAGTTGTTGCTGCTGCTTCAGTTTCAAAGATGAGCGTTGAAATTGTTCAGCATGATCGATGAAGCCCATCAAGAACTTTCCACTTTTATCAAACCTGAAAAAAGTAACAAGCACATCAACTACATCAGAGCATTCTAGAGATCGAGTAAAATCTACCATCTTGTAATCATCAGCTGCAACAGCAAAAAAGCATCGTCTCCATGAAAACATCGGTGAACATGTGAGCTTCACTACAACACATTTTTCTCAATTGTCAACCACCATATCAACCAACCTAACTTTCACCCATAAATACAGCAAAATATGAAAATAAATGATAGAACTATAATAAATACTAGATTTTATTTCAAACACTGAAAACAATTTAAACCATCAATATATAGATGAACGTTACCAAATAAAAAACGAGTCCAATAATAATAATTAGAAGGCCAAACAACTGACATGCTTTCTAGGGCATCGAACAATCCTTTTCTCATCCCCCTCAGTCCCACAGCATCTGCCTTCACATCTTCCAGAAACTGTTCCCTCTCCTGCCACACATCTTTCAACAGATTGTCCAGCATTCCAAACAGAATCAACAATTTTTCGGACAAACCCTGTGGTTGAAACAAAATATCTCAAAATATCTGTGTGCAGTGTTTTTTGCTGGTATTTTCATTTACCAAAGAACCAATTTTGTATGTCGTAACAATATTGAATGCAATTCCTAGTCAATCGTCAAAGAGTTTCTAACCTCTCGTGTATTTATGTGCGCGAGTTGTATTTTTGTTTCTTGCCACAATTTGGCGGGTATGTTGTCGTCAACACTCAAACTACAAAATGAAATAGAAAAGAGGACAAATAAAAAACTCTCGCTAACCTCAGCTACATTGGAAAGAGTTTGAAGTTGTTCATGGTCATCATCATTTGACTGACATTCTGCATGTGTGGTGTTATGGGATGGTGTGGAGTGTGTCTCGTGCGCTGATGTGTGATGTGACATGATGAATGACGATTGCACGCTGGTTCTTATTTTTCGTTTGCTTTTCAGATTGTACACAATTTCACCATTTGAAGTTGAGTGTTCAGATGAGAATATGATGTGAAAAATATGAAATTGGTTTTATTTGAAAATCAATCAATCGAACGAACGAACGAGAAAACCTTTCATAAGAAGAAACTCATCAACCTGCTTCGAAAACTGGTCCAACCGTTGCTGAAAGTTCTGCCGTGAGGAACATTTTTTGACGTGGAAAAATTGAGAGTGAGAATGTTTTAAAGAAAATAATAAACATAAGTCGCTAAAACACATAAAAACAACAACGACGACAAACAACAACAACAAACAAGTACAAAATGAACAAACCGATTGTTCTGAGTGGAAGTGGACGAGTTGGTTGTTGATGCCTTCATTGAAGGAGGAAATGTCCACTTCATCCATCTTCGCTATCTTCCTTCTCCTCACAACATTTTCCTGCTTTGCTCAATTAAGTTTTTATTGATCATTTATTATCAATTGCAATATTTATACAGATTTTTGCCAAATTTAATAACTTGAATAACTATGAAATAAATAACAAAATTATTGTAATGAAATAAATAAAGCAGGTATACATGAGAAAAACTGCAAGAACCATCAACTGAGTTGGTTGATAAATGACTGAACAAGTTATATCAAATTATATGAAACAAAACGCCAATAATGAATGAATGAATGATCTAGTTAATGTCTAATTGAAGAAAGGAACGAGCGAATCATCAAAAGAATGAAATGATGAAGTGAGTAGTAACGTTGAACCACCTCAGCAACTTGCTCGCTGACGTTCACATGCGGGCCTAACCTGCACTTCTTCATCTTCTCGCTAACCATCGCCGAGTTGTTATTCTTCAAAAGTCTTCCCTTCATTTTCTATATTTGTGAAAACGACAAATGCGTGCAAAATTGTTTTGATCAAGTGCAATCTAGTTGTATAAAACACACACGCACACACACACACACACACACACACACACATACGCACCCACGCGCACGCACACGTTTACGCACACATACTTTTGCAGAAAACTAATACCAAATTATTATTATTATTATTTGTTAGCGTTATAATCCTAAATACTACTACTATTATTACAACCACCACCACTACTACTACTAAAAATAATAATAATGTTTATAATATTATTATTACAAATTATAACTAACGAATCGTAACGACTTGCACATAGGTTTGTTTCTACAAAATTAAGCAGGCCGGCAAGAAATAACACATGGTTGGTGTCGCTTGCTTCGAATGCACGCACCGATAATTTGAACATTTTGCAGAAAACTTAAAATAGAATCAAACATAAGCAGCCATGAATGGCATGACATTGTCCTAGCTTCAATCGCATTTATTATAGCTTCAATTGCATTTATTAACACAATTGCAATTCATCTACACACACAGACACACACACAAACCGACACACGTACACACACGCACGCAACACACATACATACACACACACACATACAATCACAATAATTGTCGTTTATTTGTATTTTAATTACATTTATTGTGACATGTTGTAGTGACCTTATGTACGCGTCTGTCAGTGTTTGATTTGTTTAGAATAAAAAAAATTATTATTATTATTATTATTCAATTATGGTTATCGTTATTATAATAATTATTTATAACATTATAGTCATTATTATTTATGTTGCTGTTAAATGGTTAATTCGTTGAATTGTTAGTGCCTTTTTTTAATGTTGCTAGTATTTTCAGAATTGCTGATGAAATTTTCTTGTGAAGGGTGGTTGAATTGGCTAGGAAGGAGGATGAGTTGGAAAGAGGGGGAGGTGAGGTGAGGGGGATCTCATGAATAAGAATGGGTTCACATCTTGTAGGGCTGTGATATCGTCATCATCATCTCATCATCATTCTCTATCACCAGCATCGTCGTTTGGTATTTCTGGTGGCTAGGTCCAATGAATGCCTTATTATTTTTGTTATTAGGTAAATACTCGTCCACAATTATAACATGACGATGTTAAAGATGGCGATATGATTAAGATGTGATAATGTGTTTGTTTATTAGGCTGATAATTTATCTAATATAAATGTTAAATTCCAAAGATGGCAAAGTAAAACCAAAAGACAAAAAGATAAATTGACAGATGAATTGACAGACATATAGAAAACATGCCATTGAATGTGGTGTCACATGTTAAATGTCACAGTTATGTATTTCATCTCTCTTCCTCATCATCATTTCTTTCTTTTGTCTCCCTCTTTTCTCATATCATTTGTCACCAGCTCTAGCTCAGTTGCTGATGAATGAAGGCAAGTAACTAATAATATTTTGATACAGCCGTTTTAATAAATGTTTCTCAATTCCTGGTATATCGGAGGCCAATTTTTGCAGCGTGGCAGTCATGCTGAAACAAAACTAAAATCAGTGGTGAATTTAGGCATAGGCGCACTAAGCGCGCGCCTAGGGCCCCCAGATTTTAGGGGCCCCCAAAACTTGAAAAATGAGTTTTTTGGAGGCTTCAAAATATTTCGCACAAAAAATTTAATAAGTTTGAGAAAAATTAATTTTACATTTTCAGATAATATATTTCATAATTATTTCTAAATATTTTTGAACAACGTATGAAAAAAAAATATACTAACAACAATTTATGCGTTGCCAAAAATGCGCGCGCGAATTTTCGCCCAACCCTAAATTAAAAATGTAAACAAACTTTTGAATTGTGGTAAAATTCGAACACTATTGGCGCATCTTACGTCACAGATTTCAATTAAAAATTTCAATTCAAATTTAATTTTTTGCAATAACTAATTGTTAATTGCCAGTTTATTACACTATTTTAATAATTTCACTGTGTGGATGAATGATCATTTTTCCTTTCTGCTGCTGATTGCAACACAATAGTTTCATTAAAACAATGTCTATGAGACAATATCCCTCAGGTGCAAAAAAACGTGATATTCAAAAGAAAAGAAAAGCAGAAGATGCGAAAAACGAAGGCGCCTTGTTGACATTTTTAGCGAAACGACCGGTAACCCCATCATCAGAAACTACTCAAACAGAAATAACAGCTGGTAATCAAAGTGCAGTCGTCTCGGCAACAGCCAGTATGGATTCTGAGTCCTATCCAACAGAATTGCCAGAATCTGAACCGCCGGCTGAAGGTTCTATAGAGGTCGCGAGTATTGAAACTGTTGATAACAACTGTAGTAAAATTTTGACAGATATTGCTATGTGGCCAGCGAATTTGACAGAAACCATGCGTAATTATGTTTTGAATTTCAAACCAAAAAATGTTGGCGATTTTTCACGCGCTAGCATGTTGATGACAGATCGTGGCAGACAATATTTTCGTCATTTGTCTGAACATAACTTTTACTTGACCTAGGCAAATGGCCAAAAAGAAAGACGTGAATGGTTAGTGTTCAGTGAAACTAGTGGAAGTGTTTATTGTTATGTATGCAAACTGTTTCCAATTAAAGCTAGTCAATTTTCAACAAATGGGTGTTCAGATTGGAAAAATATTGCCGCGAAAATTTCTGAACATGAAAATTCGTATGGCCATGTTCAAGCAATGTGCACTTTGGCTAAACGCTTAAACGCAAACGGGCGTATTGACAAACAAATGGCGAAACAGTCAGATGATGAAAGGCAATACTGGAGAGAAGTTCTACGAAGGATTGTAGCAACTATACAGTTTCTTTCCTCTCAAGATTTGGCTTTTCGTGGTCATGACAACAACGACGGCAACTTTACTAGTTGCTTGAATTATTTGTCAAAATTTGACCCTTTTTTAGCAAATCATATTGCGCGGTACGGTAACAAGGGAAGTGGTTCTGTTAGTTATTTGTCACATGCTATTTGTGACGAATTTATTGAAATAATGGGCAATGCTGTCAGAGATCAGTTTATTTCAGAAGTAAAGAAATCGATATATTTTTCTTTGATTGTTGATTCAACACCTGATGTTAGCCACGTGGACCAGTTAACTGTGATACTCAGATATGTTCTCATTGATGGTGAAATTAAAGAACGAATTTTAACTTTTGTTGACATCTATGCTCATAACGCTCAAAATCTGGAGCAAGTGATACTAGACGTTTTGAAGAAATGGGGGTTAGATATCACAAAATGCAGGGGACAGAGCTACGACAATGCTTCTAACATGTCTGGCAGATACTCTGGCTTGCAGGCGCGAATCAAGGCACACATTCTCAATGCAGTTTACATTCCCTGCTCTAGCCATAGCTTAAATCTAGTTGGTAATTCGGCTGCAGAATCGTCGCTTTCAGCAGTATCATACTTTGACTCTATTCAAAACGTTTATGTGTGGTTCTCATCATCCACACACAGGTGGAACATACTTAAAAGTCATCTAGTCAAAAGAAAGTATCGGACACAAGGTGGTCAGCTAGAGCGGATGCAGTGTTTGCATTGCATCAGAACTACATTGGTATTCAGGAAGCTCTTCTTCAAGCAGCCGAAGGTCGTGATCAGAAGGCGTCTGTAAGAAATGAGGCTAATGCTCTTGCTAATAAAATAGATCTTTTTGAGACGGCATTGATGACTGTTCTTTGGGATACAATTTTACAGCGGATGAATGCAACCAGCAAATCCCTGCAAAATTCAAATTTATATCTTGATTCTGGTTTAAATCTTTTAGAATCACTGAAGCTTTTTATTAACAATGAAGTCCGAAACGATTTCACTCGTATTGAAAAACGAGCGGCATTGCTTATTAACGAGGATCTGAAAGACTGTAAATATCAAGATGAAGTGAGCCGCAAGAAAAAGCGAAAACCGTTTTCTGATGAAAGCAATGAAGCGGAAATTATTCTAACTGGTCGTGATAATTTTATTGTTAACACAGTAAACGCCATTTCTGATAAATTGATCACGGAACTTGATCACAGAATCGAAGCAAACAGAGGTATACATGATTTGTTCAGTCTATTTTTCAAGGACAAGGTAGATGACATGAACACAAAGATCTCGGCCTTGATCGAAGAATACAAAGACGATGTTAATTTTGATACCGCTGGCGATGAAATCAAACAGTTTTTCATTTCGCTAAGGAAGAAGGCGCAAAATCGGCGGTAGAGATGTACCAGCTTATAGTGGTGGGTGGACTACAATGTACATTTCCCAATGTGGAAACCCTTCTAAGAATCTTTCTCACCATTCCTATATCAAACGCAACTGGAGAACGGTCATTTTCTGTGTTGAAAAGGATCAAGAATTACTTGCGGAATTCCATCAGCCAATGTAAGCTGGGAGATTTGTCTATTTTATGCATTGAATCAAAGGAGACATTAGAATACGATTTCAATGCGCACATTGACTCCTTCGCGAAGTTGAAGAGCAGGAAAAAAGTTATATAACTGTAATAAACTGACAATTGTAATTTCTAACTAGTATCTATAGCTGTAGTATCTATGCATGTTAAATAATACATGGGTATGAGTGTTCTAACTATTGTTGTATTATGATCATTGATCGCCTTATAGGCGAGAGGCCCCCAAATTGGTCGTGCGCCTAGGGCCACAGTTTTTGTAAATACGCCTCTGACTGCAATAGTGTGCCCGGTAGTGGTCCCAGTCCTACTAAGCTCACCCTTGAAACTGGCATGTCATGGGTTCTCATTAGACAATCCATAGTAGGCCATATAGAGCAAATATGAAAAATATGCCATAAATTTCTTTCCACTTTTATTATTAAAGTTAATTTTATTAACACAGTAAATAAATATAAATATAAAAAATACAATGATATATATATATATATATATATATATATATATATATATATATATGCTTTGTTATATGTTTTATCAGAAATATATGCTGCTATTGATGAGCAAAATGTTTCTCTGTTGACGTTTTTGGATATGTCTGCGGCATTTGATTGTGCAGATCATGGTATTCTGTTGGAGAGAATGAACAACGATTTTGGGATTTCGGGCACGGTGATTGATTAGTTTAAGTCTTATCTTTCTGGAAAAACAGAACAAGTCTCTTATAAAAATAATTTATCAAATATAAAACTGGTCTCCTCCGGTGTACCACAGGGTTCTGTGTTTGGACCTATTTTGTTCTTATTACATACAGCTGATCTTTATGGAGTTATCGAGTCATTTGGTTTTAAATACCATGCTTTCGCAGATGACATTCAGATAATTTTATGTAGTAAACCTGATACCTTCCATTTTGAAATTAACAAGCCTACCGAATGTTTGAATAAATTGGATGTTTGGATGTCGTGTAATTATCTGAAGTTAAATCAGTACAAGTCCCAGTTTCTTCCTATAGGCACCTGGCAGCAGTTATCAAGGGTTGGTATTAATTCAGTTATAATACAAAATGAAAATGTTCAGTTTTGCCATAAGGCTACAAATTTGGGGTGTATTTTTGACACCAAACTAACTATGAATGATCATATAAAAACAATTGTGAAGACATGTTCATTCCAACTGCAAAGATTGAATCGAGTTAAAAAAATCATTGAACAAATCAACATTACAGTCATTAATGCACGCTTTCGTCCATTCACGTTTGGACTATTGCAATAGCTTGTTTTATGGTTTACCGAACAGATCGATTGTGATGCTTCAGTCCATCCAGAATAGAGCTGCTAAAATTGTTGCAGGTGGTGCTAAATTTGATCGCGTTACGCCAATTTTGAGGAACCTACATTGGCTAACTGTCAATAAATGGATAATATATAAAATCTGTATGGTAATGTACAAGGTTTTAAATGGATTTACGCCAGAATATTTGACATGCAAGTTCAATAAGAAGAGATCAAATTTGCGTATTGGCACAAGTCTAAGATCTGATGATGATAATTTGATGGTTGTGCCTGTTTTTCGTTTGCAGATAGGAGCAAGAAATATTGCAGTGTCGGGGGCGGTTGTATGGAATGGTTTGCCACGGTCGTTGAGGGTGTGCAATTCAGGAATTGAAAACTTTAGGAAGAATTTGAAGACTCATTTATTTAATCAATAACTGTGAACTGATTTATTTGTGGTTTATTTTATCTACTTTTTCAGCTATTTCTGTTTATTATAGGATAGCGCTTTTGAAAAATTAACACTATTATTTTTAATAAGCGCTTCATAAATTTTAATGATGATGATAATAATAATAATAATAATAATAATATATATGTAATACAATGATATGTAATAAATATGTTGCGACCATATATATATTATCTATTATATTTGGTTGCGACGTATCATAACTATGGTTTAGATATCGAAGCTGAATGTTACATAAGCATTGCAACGTGAAGTAAAACAATTGCTGATCACCCTTTACTTTTAGATCAATTTTCGTTGTTTCCATTTTGAAGATAGCCGCTGTAGAGTTGTTGAATCCAAAAGCCGAAGTTGCAAGAGTAGACCGGGCCCTGGCCATCAACATTTCGGCCGTGAAGGGGTTGCAGGAAGTTTTAAAGTCCAATCTGGGCCCAAAGGGAAAGATGAAAATAAAAGAAATTGTTGATAAATCGTGCGCGTGTGATAATCGCGAAAATGCATTCTGATCCCTAATTTTTTTACCTTTACAAAAGTGATCTAAATGTTTAAAGATTTAGGCGCGCATTTATTTGTATTTATTTATTGCAATTACCATATTGCATACTGAATCTGTTGGGAACATCATTTCACTAATTTTAAGTTAGTGTCTGGATTGGGCGATATTTATTAAAAGCTGACAAGAGATGGAAATGTTCTTTTAATTTACTTTGCAGTACACAAAATGGTTTGTATGAAGCTAAAGTTTTGTCAAAAGTAATTCAATTGTAAATAATAAGATATTTATTTTAAAGTGTGTACTTTATAAATATTTTCATTAAAAATTATTCTAATTCAGCTTCATTGATTGCGAAGGTGACCACAGCCCAAGATGGCATAACAGGAGATGGCACCATATCCAACTGTCCTATCATTGGAAAACAGGTTTCTTTAGTGATTGAGGAAAATGTTAAATAAATAAAGCTTCTCTAACTTTAAAGGCTCCTACTTTAATGCTTACAATTTAGTTAGAAGAAACTTTCATCCTTATCCTATCATTTTTCAGTTAAAGTAATATATGTTAGAGGTTGATAAGAGACTCATTTCTAACATATTGATACCTTTTTAAATGAAAACATCAAGTTAATAAATATGCTACTAAAAATATTATTACAATCAATTTTTGGCAGATTAATATTAAAGTCGCCTATGATATAGATATTTTTTTTTTAATTTAGGATTAATTTTTAAAAAATTTTAAATCATTAATAAAGCAAACTGAATCAGTATTAGGAGGTCAGTACATTAGGTAAATTAAACAATCTTTAGGTTCAATATTAAATATTTCAACAATAAATCAATTATAAAGCAGGGGAAAATACAAAAAATCGTCACAAACAACATATTTTAAAGAGTTTAGTAAAAACATTATTACAGGTATCAATCAAGGAATTCAATTTTGTCATTTTATTGTACAAGCATCTACTGTTAATGTGAAGAAGTTAAAATTGATTAAGTCATTGGCGAACCCTTCAACATCTTCTTGAAGCAAGTGAGGAGAGTTATTGACGATCGAGTTGAAAAAATTAACATCAGTTCAGCAGAATCTAATATTGATATAATATTTTATCGTGATCATTATGAACATCCAATAAGACGTTGTTGCTTTGAGATTGACGACTTTTAATATTGTTATTAATATCATTTAAGTTATTATTTAGAAACTTGTTGCGAAAACATTCAATATCATCCATCTTTATTTTTATCCTGGTCATTCACGTATTATAATATGTTGTGGAATAATCACGGGGTTTTTCATTTTCACTGCTGCATCTGTTCTCTAAACACAGACGCGAAGCATTTTGGATTCATTATCATTTTTGTTTATATTGTCGTCTTTGGGAGCATCTGATTTTCTTATGAAATACCGTTAGCGGTCAAGAACTCAATCACATGATTTCTGTGGCATCTGCTGATGTTGCCCGTTGAAAAAACAACTTTTTTAGTTAGAGATTTGTCTGCTTTCAACTTGCAGTTTTCAGAGATTTGTTGCCGATTATCTTTGTTGTCTTTTTTGATACTGTTGCTTTAGAGACGTCAATGATGTTTTTTGTGAGGTAAACGGTTGGAGAACTAACTTCGACAAGTCTTGGCCATTTTTTATTCCTTGAGACCAGAGAGTAAATGTAACTTCCTTAGTTGGAGTAACTACAACGTCCGGCCATTTCTGTACATTTGAAATTTCTTTTGTAGCATTGTAAACAACGTTATATTTTTTTTGAGTTTTTACTCAAGTTTCAGCGAATGTACCATCTTTATTATGAAACAATTTATTTAAAAGTGTTTTCACAGTAGAAATTTCTCTGGTATTTCTTCCATTCAGACAAATTCACCTGTTGTTTGAGTATCGAGGGCTTGGGATGCTTGTGGTTGCTATTTAGCAAATGATGTTGCAGTGGCTGTATTTTAATTTTTAAAAAGTCAACCTTTTTTTTTAATACTGAATTAAAATTCTCCGATTCTATCATCTATTGATTTTGACCTTCAACGAAATCAATGACTCCTTCAAGTACAATGCTGTTTACAATATCTTCCAATGTTTCATCACTTCGTTGGATCATAATTAAATGTTAGCCGTCGCTGCCGAATTTTTCACTATAAAATGTCGGCCGCTGAATAATTTTTCAGCTAGCCACTGAACGTTGAACGTTTTCCCTGAAACAACCACTTTTACAAGTTTTTAGAACAAATAACGCCTACATTATCATACAAATATATACATCATTAATTCATCTATCCATTCATCTAACAATTTATCCATCAATTTATTCATCAATTCATCCATCTGCCATCCATTCATCCACCCACTTATCCATCCATTCATTCATCCATACATTGATCATTCACTGCTTTATTCATTTATTTTCTCACTCATTCATCTATCTATTCATTCAATAAATCAATCAATTGAGCATGCATTTTTTTACCCACTCAATAAAACATTATCTCATTCATTTATCACCACTTACAACGTTCATTCGTTCACTCATTCGTTGATAAATTGCCAATTAAAATATTTTAGGGCTAATTTAATAGATCCAAACACTGAATGATTACGACGACGATGATAGTGGTGACATTGGTGATGATGATAATTAAGTGACGATGAAGTGGATAGTGATGATGTTAGTGATGATGTTGAAGAAGATGATGATTATGATGGAATTAATGGTGATGATAATGATGTAATGATGAAGGTGATGATGATTATGATGGAATTTATGGTGATGATAATGATGTAATGATGAGGGTGATGATGAATGAGGTAATATATGGTGTTGATCATAATGATATGATGTTGATGGTAAGGACGAGACAATGTTGTGAGAATTCAGTGTTCAGGTTACAATAATGGTAGTGATGGAATCAATGAAGATGATGACGATGAAAAGAACAATAAAGATGATGAAGATGATGATGATAACGAGAAGAGTAATGAAGATGATAACGGTGATGAAGATGGCGACGATGATGGTTGGTGACGAAGATTGCGATAGAATCAAAGACGATGAAAATGATGATGCTCTTGAAGATATGACGAAAATGATGACGATGGTTATGATAATGAGACGAACGATGACAGAAATTTAACTCGTGATTACCATGATAATATTAATGGCTATGAAGTTTATTTTGTGATAACATAGTTAACAGTAATGACGTTTCTTGTAAGTTTATAATTTTTTCGTCCATTTTTTACGTTAATTGTTATTTAGTTGTTTCGTTAATCATCTTGATATTAAGAGCAGTGAGTAAAATTGTCGATGATACTCCCAATGATGATAGCGATGAGAATGATGACGATGAAGATGATAACAACAATGATGACGATGGTGATGCTGGTGAGGTGATAATAATAATGATAATGATGATAATAATGATGACGATGGTGATGCTGGTGAGGGGATAATAATAATGATAGTGATGATGATAATAATGATGATGATGGTGATGATAGCAAAACTGATGACGATAACAACGACGACGACAGTAATGATGATAATGAGTACGGTGATGTCATCTGATTCCGTTAGAACTTTTAAACAAGTCTTTTTGATGTTTGTATTTATATCGGGACATCGTTGCGTTCTCCAACTAGTGTGTGTGTTAATGTGAGTGTGTTTATGAGTGTGTTGTGTATATATATATGTGTTTATGTGTGTATGTGTGTTTACAGTTCAATTATTAGAATGGGTTGATTTGTGTAGTGAATTTTGAAAAACAATTAATTTTATTTTATGTGTTTGTTGTTTTTTTTAATGGTGGCATTGAATGAGTTTAATTTCTTTTCAATCGTCAGCCTTGAGTTGATTGTAGATTATTATAGCAGAATGCAATGAACAATTTTTTTTGTATTAGGTACCATGTACAAAAACAAAATGAATGCCAAGTTGTGGCGTTATACTAAATAATAGGCAAGTATTAATCAAAACTCCATTTCCGTTTTTCAGTGGAATATTTTCTCCAACATTATTTTAAAACACGAATACAAAAAGTATTTTTCAATAGTTCATTCGTTCAATCAATCAACCAGTTATAATTCAATCCATTAATCCATTATTTAGCCAATCAATATTCAATCAGTCAATTATTCAGTCAATTATTCAGTCAATTATTCAATCAACCAATTACTCTGTCAGCCAATCAATCAAATAACTAATTAAAACGCTCTCGCAGGCTTTATTCGAATTTTGTTTTCTTTGAGATCGCAGACTTCTTTCGTTAGACATCAAGGATTTTTGTTAAGTTTAATCTGCTAACGCTGATAAATAAACTTGATTGAATAACACGCACATCACATACATACAAACATTTCTATATGAATTAGCTTGTAGTAGTACATTATTTGTAGATATTCGTATTGCACGCACACACACACGCAACACACACACTTAGGCATACACACACACAACGCACCACTTACAAATAAGTCACGTGACAATGAATATTTTGCAACATTATTTTATGATACTGTGATACGCATTCTACGGAGCAAAGACATTTAAATTATGGAAGGTGATATGCGCATAATTTGTATCTTTGCTGAGTAACTTGATCTCTTCGATCATGTTTGTTTTTATCAAAAAATTTAACTTGCCGAAGCATTTATAAAAATATTTTGGCAGTTATGTGATGATTTTTTACTCAATTAATAGGCCATCATGTAATTTCATAATATTTCTACATGTTTATTTCTATTGGTCTATTAATAATAAAGTTAGAAACGCAAATAATTATTCCTTTGTAAGTATACGGTGTGTTTTTTTTGAAGTTTTCATCCAGAGGCCGTTCTCGACCTCGTAATTTGCAGTGCTCCTATGATGTGGGTTGGGTTGCATCCGACATCCATTGAACCAGACAATTAAAAAAGAAATTTCTTAAAAAAATATTATAAAAAGTATGTTTCCAAATGTACTAACTCAAGATGAGGGTTGTTTTAAGAATGGCTCACTGCATAATTTGGGACCGCCTAAATGAACAGGGAATTTTATTTATATTATGAGAAATCCGAAGACATACTTTACTGTTATAAGTGCATTAATTTTTTTGAACCAGGCCTCAAAATGGAATAAATGGAAATACATGTTTGTTTATTTGTAAGTTGAAGATCTGTTTCGTGAACAGTAAATTAAGTTTTATGCAGTTTATTATTGGTACGTTTTAAATATCGACAACAATGCCAACATATGCTTAATTCATTGCCAGCACCAATGATAATATTCTTGCATACTTCACTTACGTTCAAAGCCAAAACTGATATGTTTACAGTATAGTCGAGCTATAAATCCACCGCCACATAACGCGCACGCAATCTTCTAAACATGTTCAAGCGACATACATACATGCGTGTGCGTGGAAATATTAAAATGTTATTTCAAGCAAGTCGTAAATTAAAACATTCATCAAATAAAAGATTC